TTGGCAATTTATGTCTCAATTGTTTTCTCGATTAGTTCCTTGGTCGATAAAATGCCAGAAAATGGTGAAAAATGTCAATCTGTGTTTCCCAAAGCCCAAGGTGACATCCACCAATGTCTTGTTTTGTCCACAACTCAAAGATATTCATCTTACTGTCGCAGAGGAGTAAAGAAACCAGAACATTTTCACATACAGAAGCAGGAATCTAAGAATTATAGTTTTTAAATTTACATAATAGCACAAACAGACTAAACGATCGAGTTGAGGGTAGACCAGCAACTACCATGTGCTGTGAGGTAAAATAACTGATTCTGTAAATGGAGTAAAGAGGGCAATATAACGACTTAGTTCCCCTTCAGAAAGGGCTGTTAAGCAAGGTAAAGCGATAAAGTATTCGTAATGTACCAGACACATACACTGATATTTAGGGTGAGGTGGAATTTTGACAGTTTTTTTCTTAGAAAGTACTCAAAATGATTGATCGGTTATCAAATCAGTTGGCAAGAATTCAATAGCTGACAAATAAATCGCTGCAGCTCTAAGTAGCAGTATCTCCAGTTTGGTTGTGTGTTTCAATAACACAGTTGGCTGTGTGGGAAGCCTGTGAGGGATCATGTTAGAAGTGACAAGGACCACAGGTGCATAAATAATTACACATTATAATGTGGGATAAACAGCTGCAAAACCTGCAAAAATAAAGAAAGTAAAAAGAACAACAGTTGCCTGCTATTGTTTCTCCTGCTCCAGACTTTATTATGACCGTGGTGTTCAGCACTGTGTCTGCCTGGCTCCTGTTCTCTGTCTCTCTGCAGGTGTGTCACCTCACCTGTAGCAGGCACTTCACACCTCCAGACTATTTAGCTTGTAGTGCTGCAGGACACACTGATAACCAGCCAGGCTTGTTGGCACAGAGGAATGTACGAGATGTCCGAAGACTCAGGTGTATTTCATAACATTAATAATGGCTGAATTCCATTTAGCTGCCTCAGTTTTAGGGTTTGGTTTTATGCCTGCTGGCTCAATAACTGTAATGCTTTAATATAACAAACCATCATTCATGTTATTAGTCACATCTGTGACTTTCGTGGTGTGGCATGACACGTCAGCCAAAAGTCAAAGTGTGAGACAGGCCTATGATAGAGTGTGACTGAGTGAATTTTAAATAAAAGATCACTGGAGGATCCCTCTGTAAATCTACTCTGAATAAATGGATACAAAGAGATCTATCACAGTTGAACTGGTATTGTTAATGTGGGGTTGCGTTTGAGTCTGTTTTTAGCACTCATTTTCGATTTTTGGCATTTTTAATTTTTAGATATGGCAGTGAAACCATCACGTTACACAAAACTGTCCACTGCATTTATACAGTTACAAAAGAACATAAAATTAGAGATCTGATATTACACTTCAGTTTTTACATCAGTCTGATTACAATCTTCATGCAAAAAAAAAAAAAAATACTGTGTCCATCACTTAAAGGGGCACTCTACCAGTTTAACACTCAGGTTCACTACTCCTCATGAGGAGCATGTCTAAAACTGTGAAAACAGTTAAAAAACATCTTCTGATAAGTGTTGGGACCAGACAAATTTGCAAGCAAGATGTTTTATTTGCTCCGTCAGATTCCTCTGGCTCCTCTCCCATTCAGACAGGTTACTCGTCTGCCTCAGATGGGTTGGGTTGAGCACAACTGCTTATGTAAGATAAGGTGTGTTTCAGGTGATGACTGACAACTTGTGAAACCTTTAGACTATCACAGGGCTCTCTTTACATTTGTCTGTCCCTTAGTGCTACATAACGTTTCATGGCTGTGACTAGTTGTAGATCTATTCAATTGCATCCAGAGGCATTTTAGTCTACGGACATCGATAACGCCCTCTGTAAATCTAAAACCAGAGGTTCCAGAGTACCACCGCATTTGCTACTCTGGTGTGGTGATGTCAGACTCTGGGGGTGCTTCCTGGAGACTGAAAAAAGATGGCAAACACTGGCATAAGGAAAAGGAAGTGTCTTGGAAAGAGTGTAAAATGTTTATTGTTCTTTTTTGAATTTCAAACGCCAAATCACTGAATTAACAAAAACAAGTTATGTTAAAAAATGGAAATGAAAAGATATAAAGGAGGGAAGTTAGCGACACTTAAAACCATTCAGCTGTACAACTGAAAAAATGAAGGGGTTTCCATTGGCCACAAAACCGTCTGCATTAAGACCAGAAGGAGGCCGGGTTCAATTCATTTTCAATTCAGCGAGTTTCTTTGTGAATTCAAACCTTAAAATCTGCAGTTTCTGTTCTGAATCGCAACATGAACTGGCCCCAAGCCTCCTCTGAACATACAGTACAACTGAGTCTGAAAGGATCACTTAAAAGGGTTAAATAAAAACATACTCTGTAAAAACCAAAGACTCAAATACTGATAGAATATAACCTTGTCAGTAAAACATAAAAGAAGAAATAACTCCGGAGGTGAGGTGGTCCAGGTTCAGCTGCAGGTCCGCGCTCTGCAGGCTCAAGTGGAGGACGTGCAGGACATGAGGAAAACGCCACCGACCACACCGACTTCCCCGAAAATAACTGTGCTGACTAGGAGCGGCCTCGGAATGACAGCTCAAATAAGACATACATACTCTCTTCTTAAATTAACTCAACCTCTCTTTCCTCCAGCCAAACAAAAACAACACTCGTGGTAGAAAGACAGAAATATTTTCCACCCAAAACTTCTCAAAAATCATAAGCAAGGAGGGATATGCTCAAAACCCTTACACGCTCAGCTGTAATTTACAAAAATGTGACATATATCATTTGTATAAGAACCTTGTTCCGTACAGCAGCCTAACAACGAGCGCTCTGAGGAAGCTTTTGGGGGAAGGGGGGTGCAAGAAAATAAAAAAACAGCTGATGGAGGACTGCGTCATGCTTGTCTGAAGAAGCCTCTGCAATACTACCAACTGAAAAGTCAGGAATAAAGCAATAATCTGGGGCAGAACTTTTTTTTTTACACATTATGAAAAATGAGAAAAATATATATGGAGGCTTTCAGTTGACCCTTTGCTAAGCCCCTCCGCACAATGGCCACTGTTCAGACCTACGTTAGCAACCGTAGCTAGGCATGGGAGGCCTGTCAAGCTTTCAGAGCAAGGGAAGAGAAATAGGGCATCTGCGAGTCCAACAGCAGATATCCTTAAAGTTAAGAGGGAGGTATTTTATTTTTCACTTTTCCGAAGCCAAAAACACAAGAGGAGAGATGTCAAATTTGGATTAAACAGTGTGGAAGACGTCACTCACAGCTGAATTCAATGAGGCTCGACAAAAACTCCTATATGTGCTCCATGGTAAGACACAAGCTAACGTTAGCTAGCTTAACATGTTAGCACCTTGGCTGGACCTGAATACTGGACTATTTGGACATTTGTGGGTAGGTATGCGGTTTTAAATTTTGAGATTTGGATACTTGTTTTTTTTGTTTTTGTTTTCAAATCTTAAATTTGCTAAAGCTAGCATGCTGTTCCTGCGCTTTGTGAGATGTTGCCTCAGATCTAGCGTTGATTACTTAAGAGCATTCTGGACGCCCAAACTCCCCCCCCCGGGATCAGCAGACTTTCTGTTACTATCATTACATGGGTTAGCAGAATGCTGAGAGACTGTCTCAATGCAACATGTGCCCAGTTAGCACAAGCTAACACAGCAACAGCGGCTAACATCTGACACTAAACCATTAAACGGTCCCAACAAACTCACATAGTCACCGACATGGCTCGACTTTGTTGTTAAACCCGTTAACAACCACATGACAGGGTTCAAGAAAGTTTGGCTTTCCTTTACCCGACAATAACCATAAATATACTGAGTCATTTTCACCTCGACCACGTTACCCAGGCTAACTGATGAACAACATGTTCCCACTTGCTGTCTTTTCTTTAGTTTGGGACCCCACTCCCCAAACAAACAATAGGTTACGTGCTTTCTAACCTCAAGCACACCGCCGAGCACCTCGATTTCTGCGTCAGGAATATTCGTTTTTCTTGGTTTTCCTTCACTCATTGCCATGATCCACCATAAAGAACCATTGATCAGCTGGCTCATGCATGTGCATCAACATTAACGAGGTGCTGTGTGCTGACCATTTATGGTTGAACGTGGGCATGGCGAGGGCGGGATATGAGGCTGGTCCACATGCGGACTTTTCCAAGTTAATTTGGGATTTATAAAAGAAGGTTGCGTACTGGCAGGTGTACGCACTCTTTTACAAATCTGAATATTTTTTGGCTTACGTACATTTACTCATTTATATCTATGCAAACATTTAGTGTAGATTCTTCACAGAGTTTTATAAATGAGGCCCCAGGTCCGTCACGTTATGCAATGGGACCCAGAAAGACGTCCCATAGACTTAATTTTGAAAAAGACGTCTGTAAATCAGCAAAATGAAGTTAGAATTTGACATGTGCGTGTGAATGCTTGACAAGCTTGACAACAGTAGGCGGGGGGCGGGACTTAGCGAAGGGTCAATTCCATCTCCAGAAAATAATACAGGAGCGACAGTATAATACACTTACAGATTAACTGTGCCTGCTCAGGTGCTCGTCTGAAATGGTTCTCTTCCTTTATCATTTTTATCATTATTATTATTATTTTGTGCAGGAGAAAATAAAATCTTAAAGCAAACAAATAAACTAAAACAAGCCTTTCTTATTTACACTGAATACATTGCATTATCACAACCCCAGTTCACTCCGTCTATCCTCCATCCCACCTCCTCAACTTCCCTACTTATCGCGTTTGCAGAGTTCAGACACTGGGGGGGTGTGTCGGAGACCGAGGGTTGTGTTTTGGGGGTTGGTTTTGGAACTGAAATGCTCGGGTTGAGCTGAGGAAGCTGTACAGATCCCTAAAATAAAGGCCAGGCTGGGAAGGCTCCAGAGTTTTGTAACAGCACTGATTCAGCCAGTCCTGCCCCAGCCCCGAGCCGACCCCAAGCGGGGGGGGGGGGGGGGGGGGGNGGGGGGGGGGGGGGGGGGGGGGGGCTCTAGAGGTTGTCCCCGGGCTGGTACTGAGGCTCGGTGGCTGTGAAGTAGTCCTCCAAGAAGGCTTGCAGGTACTCGAAGGTGGGCCGCTCCTCGGCGTCCTTCTTCCAGCACTGCAGCATCAGCTCGTGCAGCGAGATGGGGCAGTCCTGGGGGCACGGCATCCTGTAGCCTCGCTCCACCTGCTCCAGCACCTCACGGTTGTTCATGCCTGAAGATGAAACACACACAGAAGGTGAGTAAGTGCAGCAACAGATCAATATGACAGCTCCGTGGAGACCAACTGCTTTGATTTAGCCTCTGTAACCTTCAACACAAACAGAATCCCACTGGTACCAGCCGTTTCTTGACATTTTGAAATTGCAAAGGCCTTTTAAGTGAGATGAGTAGCTATTTTTTTAGTCTAAAACAAAAACCCTGAATCATTAAGAACCAGAGGAGATACATTTACTCCATTACATGTACATAAGTATCTTTTTGTACTTGTTGGAGTAGTTTTAATGTGGTTTTTTACTCTTACTCCAGTATAATTAAGGAGAAAATGAATATTTTTACTGTGTAACATTTGCATACACTCCTTGCACTACTTTTATTAATTTGTTATCTCCCATTAGGGCTCGATAAAGTGTAGCCTAACTTTTAAAATAACATACACCAAAACACTTTTACTGCACAATTTAGTGTATGTCTCCTTCTTTCTCAGCACGTAAGCTACGACTAAAAGAAACAACAATGACTGCTGCAACATTTTCTTTTTCATGACAGTTCAAATATGAGGAACTCTGAAAACTATGACGCAAACCTCTGAAGAAAAACAATTTCATTTAAGGGAAATTTCGTTTTATTTCAACCCGTCTCCTATCGTCCTAAATTTGGTTCAAGTGACTAGTGACATAAAAATAATAGTTAGCATGTTAGACATAAGCCTAGATACAGCCATAGCGTCAGACCTGTTAAAACGTAAGTGAACGGGCATCCCTTCAAGTGCAAAGTTAGTCCACTAAACAAGTTTTTTTCCCACAAAGACCGCCTCATATTGTTAGGATAAATGTCAGAGAACATATAGAAAACGACATGTAAACGTGTTGTCTTACCTTACTGGTGTGCTGCCATGTTTGTTTACAATTTAGCTCTGCTTTCCAAAGCGCGGCCGAAATATCGCGAGAACAAGCAGCGATCTCATAGCGTGCCTGAACAAGCAGCAACAGCTAGAAGGCAGAACCGGACGGTTGCCTGAACGGAGGAGGAGGAGGAGAGAGAGAGGCGCAACAGGTAACGTTAGAGGACGAGAGAGGAGGAATGGCTGCCACAAGGCTGCGTAGCTCTGGAGATTGGTGGTGTACCTGTGAATGCTGTGCCCCAGTGCCCACAGAAGAGGAATGCCTCTGTTGCAAGGAATGGGACCGGTTGCAGCCTTATTTTCAAGGTCTGGATGTGACCGAGGACGAGACACCTCCACCTGGAGTAACGTTAGTATCCAGCTGGGCTTTATCTAGAGCTGGCGAGATATATTTTGGCCGCGCTTTGGAAAGCAGAGCTAGAGGGATAAACAAACATGGCAGCACACCGGTAAGGTAAGACAACACGTTTACATGTCGTTTTCTATATGTTCTCTGACATTTATCCTAACGATATGAGGTGGTCTTTGTGGAAAAAAAGCTTGTTTAGTGGACTAACTTTGCACTTGAAGGGATGCCCGTTCACTTACGTTTTAACAGGTCTGACGCTACTATGCACCCCGGCTGTATCTAGGCTAACAGCTAACATGCTAACTATTATCTGTATGTCACTAGTCACTTGAACCAAATTTAGGACGATAGGAGACGGGTTGAAATAAACCGAATTTTCCCTTTAAATATGAGAGTTAAATATGTGTTACAATATCGCTTGACCTGACTCATAGAACATTTTCAGCAGAAATCCACTGACCTTAAGCAAACCTAATATGGAAACAGTTTTTATCATATTGGGACTTCCCTGGTGACGTCATACATTAAGCAAGACTTATTAAATTTACAATGTGTAATAAATAATTGCTGAAATGCAAGTCTTTCATCATCCTTTTGGCAGCTCCAAGCAGTAGTATCGTAACAGCACAAATAGACACACAAAATCCAAGCAGCAGCTAGCCTCAGTGTGTTACTCTGCTGCTGATGCACTGTGCTGCTGTCTTGTCTGTACATGTCCTGTCAGCGTCCTTGTTTCACGCCACAACATTATCAGTTATAAATTTGTTTTTTCCTGCTTGAGGAAATGGATGTGTGGCGTGGGAGCGTGTGAAAAGTGCCAACTGCATGAGTCTAATGGTCAAAGTGTGAGAGTTGGCAGCTCTACACAACATACTTTCCGTACCATGTTAGGAGCACCTATGCATGTAGAGCTGATAGTGTTGTTAAAAATATCAATTAATCAATACATATTGATTCTGAACATTTGAAATGGTTTTACTGCTTATTTTCAGCAGTATCCATAGTAACAGCGGTACAAGCTGTGCTTTCTGACTTTCTCTTATTGTTGACGTTTACTACGGTCATTCTGCTGTTCTCTACCACTAACCAATACATTGTTGTCATCCTAATACATTTTTTAACTTGAACGCCTTCAATGTCAGTTTCTCCACATGGTATTGAAAATTGTATTGAAAATTGATATTTTTCAAGGTATTGTATCAAAATTAGAAATTCTCTTATTATAACAAAACTACCCTCTGCATATTCATGTGGTATTTTAAGCCCCATTTATCCATACTGTATTTAGTGTACAACCTGTTATTTCCTTCTCAGACGTTAAAAAGACTGGTGTTCTGCTGATCCCAGGTCTGCAGGTGCTCTCTAATGGCTCTGTTCACAGCTGTAGAATAATGGATGAAGCTAATTCAGGTAGGACAAAACACCCCTAGTTTTCTCTTTTATTTATTTTTTCACTGTTGGAATATTGCTTTTGAAACAGCACAGCTCATACTATAGTAAGCTCCAGATGTGAACGCTGGTCTGAGGTCAGTAGTGCGGCTGACACCGAGCTGACAGAGCGTCGACCACATCTGTTTACACCGCCTTTACGCCAACGCGGTCAACACTAAATATATGCAGTATATAAGCCTTTAAATTACAACTTTACCTAAAGTAAACATCCATATTGCTACCAATGAGGTACAACATTGAGTTTTATTAGACGTCCACAAAAACAGGTGGACAGGCTTGGATACAGGTTGGAATCAAAAAGAATTTATTATCATACATTAGAGGCACAGTGTCAGAGATCTTTTGTTTATTTTATTTTTGTTTATTCATTTTTATTTTATATATCTGTGTATAAAGATCTCTATATATATTTTTTAAAATTTATTTACTTTTTCATTTTTCAGTCGTGTAGTTTTTTATGGGGTTGTTTTTGGGTTGGGTGGGAGAAAGGAGGAGGGGCAAATAAGACCCCTGAGTTGTGCAGTTTATGAATGTCATAACATACATCCAGTATTACAGTGTATGTAGAGGTTGATGATTTGTTGTTATACTCACCTCCAGTATTGGAAAATAAAAATTTGATCACACAAAAAAGTAGTTATTTTGACTACTTATACCTCAGTAAAGACACAGTTGAGTACATCAGCAGGGGTGTCTGCTACCCACTCCTGTCAAGGACCCAGATACGGCCTCCGAAGGCTGCTAACACATCTGTTAGCATGCTGCTGCTCCCTCAGCTCATTGCGTGCTAACCTTCCTCACCTTCTCCCTGCAGCACAAGCAGCCCACCAGCCCCATCTGGACAAACATGTGTTCCCCTCCCCGTGTGGAGCTGCACTCTGAGTACACTGTGTGCCCCGGCCAGGCCCCCCCCCACCCTCGCTTTCTGTTTTAGTTTCTGTCTGAAATTCAAGTTGTCCCACAGGCGAGTGGCAGTAATTAAGGGTTATCTCACATTCTGGCAGGGAAAGGAAGGTCACCCAAGCATTAAAGGACCTTTTACTTCCATAAACAGCATGAGGAGCCTGTTGTCATAAAGGAAGCTGTGTGTGCTTTGGTAACGATTCAGTGTCTCATGGAGGAGAGGTTTCCTCTTATCAGGCCACTTTATCAACGTGTCCCAATCGGCTCGAGGTGAAAGCTGAGCCAAGGTGAGCCTCTGCTGTCTGTTTAACCCTTCCCCCTCCTCACCTGGGTAAGGCACCCGACCCTTGGTGACCAGCTCCGTCAGCAGGATGCCGAAGGACCACACGTCTGACTTGATGGTGAACTTCCCGTACAGCGCAGCCTCAGGGGCGGTCCACTTGATGGGGAACTTTGCACCTGAAAAGATGACATAAGCATCAAGAAGCAGCATAATCAGTTTACTTTGTCAAGAGAGAAAACAGGTGCATAACATCTTCTGTGCATGTGACAAAGAAACAGCACAAAAATTTGCAGTCAAACCATCAAAAGCATTTATATCTACAGTGACACAAATGTATGGCAGTATCCCCTGAAATTTCAACAAAGTTTCACACCAAGAAAGGACAAGATGAGCCCTGCATTTGAGGAGAGCCTCTCTGATATCAGCTGTGCCCATTATACGGACACAGAGTGGAGCTTTTAATCATAAACAGTCAGTAGTAATTAATTGTAAAGAGTTAAACTTGTTGCCGTCACAGGCTGTAGACTGTGTGTGCACCTGTGCCAGCACCTTTTTGGACTGTCAGCACCTCTTCCTAAGAACACATTTTCTTGTTTTAGTGCTAACTGGGCCTAAGTGATAATATGGTGTGTTTTTATGGACTTAAGCAAAGAGTGGCAACTGCAGCCACATGTTTACAATAAAAAGATGCACCATTCTCGTTGCTGTATGTTGTCATCTGTGATGTCACTTGTTGTGATTGGCTGAGCTTATTGCAGTCAGAGAGAGGGATGTGTACATACTGTTTGATTCAATTATATGTTTTATTTGCCTTTTTTATATGAAAGGACAGATATAGAGTGAAGGGTGAAGAGAGAGTGGGGTTGACATGCAGCAAATGGCCGTGGGTTGAATTCAAACCCAGAGCCGCTGCAACAAGGACACAGCCTTTGTACACAGGGCACCTGCTCTACCAGGTGACTTAGTGGGCACTCCACATTCAATTATATGTTTTTGAATTTGCAAATAAAAAATTGCCAGAAAAAAAGCTCTATGTAAATGGCCCATAAGTGAAAGATTTCTAATAATAAATAATTCTGGTGATGTCAGTAGGGTTACTGTATCTCTGTTTTGGAAACTACCAACATTAAAACTGTGTTACAAACTGGGAGAGACTAGTTAAAAGGAATACTTAAGCCTCAGACTGACCATTTGTCTATCAGTTACTCACCCTATGTTACACTGATTTCATGAAGACATCTTTGTTTTTCTAGCATGGCTCCACGGTGAATGAAGAATCCAAAAACGGAGATAATTCTCGATAAATTGAAGTCATTGGGGTCCACGATTAACAACAGCAAAACTATATCAAAATCAAAATAATATCTTTTTACAAACTCACACTCATGGAGTATAATTTAAGTCTTTGACAAGTGTATGTTTGACTTCTGCTAGTGCAGTCGATTGAGCAGAGTTCAAATGCATGAGTTTGCTGATGCATGCTACTCGTATGTGCAAGTGCTATATATAATAACATTTTAGCGAAAGTGCTAGCAAAAAGGGAAAAAAGGATTATACTGCACAAGCAGTGTGAGAATTTGTTGATGTTTGCTATAGTGTTGCTGTTGTTAAACACAAAACCCTATGACTTAAATTCATAAGGAATATTTGTTGTTTTTGGATTTTTCATTCATCATGGAGGTATGCGAGAAAAACAAAGTTTTTTTCATGAATCCAACGTAATGGGTGAATAACTGATAAACAAATATTCATTCTATAGGTGCAGTATTCCTTTAAGACATGTTTTAAATGTGTCTCTTGTTAGTCCCTCAACTTTTTGGAAGTAGGCTACAATACTAAATCACTGTAGTGCACCTTTTAGATCTGAATTTATGTACAAGGGAAGTGTTGCACGTGTTGCCTGAGTAGTAGTTCCTTTCAGCACCTATTCACTTTAAAACCTGAGGATGTGCAGCCATGTCTGCTTTGCAAAACAGATGCATTGATTCCATTATGTCATTTTCCATGATATCGTACTGTCTGATGATCTTGGTTCTATAAGGTGCTTTGTTGACGTGACTGATGTGTTTGTTGACACAAAAAATTAACCTGTCACATTAGAGCATCAGCAACACGGTCTGGTGCAACATAATTACAGGGTGGAGTTATTAAGTCATGTATACAGTAATATTACCTCTTCAGCTGGTGGGTCACAGATATACATGTCATTGTCTAAACTCTAAAGCTACTTAATGGAAAAGTTAAGGAGAAATTCAAAGTTCAGCAGGTTGACCACAATTATAACCACTGCTATACAGTTGGGTCATGTTAGGCTGAATGCCAATGTTTAGCATCTGTCAGCTATATTAAAGGTTTCACTTTTCAAAGCAAAGCTTAAAAAACATGTGCGTAGCAGAATGAGTTCATTTGTCGAGGGGAAAGGAGAATTCTCAAAATTGATGACAGCATTTTCTGAGCACAGACAAACGGCATCAACAGGAACAGCTGTTGTGAGCTCAAACTAACCAAGAGAGAGAGATGATGGACATTTAGTTAACCTAATATGACCTACTTTTGTGGTATTAGGATGTTACGTTCTTTACATATTAAGTAAAGGCTGTTTTAATATATATTTTTGCGTCATGGATGGACATATCAGTCAAATCCTACAACACAGTAAACAGCCCCACTGTGGACAGCTTCAGTGGTCAACACTAGAATACCATTCATTTCTAGTATACATGCCTTGTAAAGTCTTTGTGTCTCTGGAGCAGGGAGTGTCTGCTCTCTGTGTCAGTGTTAACAGAGAACAAATATTTGGAGCTGACTCTGATCGTGGCTTCACAGCTAACTATTTGCTGGTCAATTTGATGTGGGCGTGTTGCAAATTTGCGGTGCTCCCGCTGAGAGAATTTCCTCCATGACCTAATGCAGTCATACAGCGTGTGAATGTGTGTGAGTGGGAGCATTAAGTATGTCCATTCAACATTGTCTGTGTATGTGTGTGTGTGTTAGCGTAGAGGGATGCCCCACCTTGCCGAGCGGTGTATTCATTGTCTTCGATGAGCCTGGCAAGGCCGAAGTCGGCGATCTTGCACACCAGGTTGTCTCCCACCAGGATGTTGGCGGAGCGCAGGTCTCTGTGGATGTAGTTCATCCTCTCGATGTAGGCCATGCCTGCCGCCACCTGGAGCACAGCACAGTGAGCACGGCTGCATTAACACTCACTGAAAACATCCGCTTGGGATTGTTTCTGCTGAACACTGCAACTGTGTTGTTTCAGGAAACACGTAGAGAGAGCTCTTCCTAAATAAGAACCACTTTTAACTGTCAGCGTATTAAAAATATGGATAAATAATGTCTGGCAGAGGAAATATGTCAATCCAATCCTCTGAAAAAGATCTGTCGGCAAGTGATTCTGCAGAAGAAGAGCTTGTTTAGGAAGTAGTCTGAAGCAGAACAGAGAGCATCCTGTATCCCCTTGGCCTTTAGAAATGCCAATAGCTGATGGCAGCCATAACTCATACAGACACAGTTCCATTAACATGCAGCTCTAACAAATACCTCTGTGCTACCTGCTGAAAACAGAAAATCAGGTTAAGGGAAGTTTCATTGCAAAGATATCCTATTACAGGTGATTTATTACCTGCGAAAACTGTGGGACAAAAGCGGATGTTCTGCTATGGACTGAATATGTTAGTTACAAAGAAATGTGTGTTTATTCTGGGTTTTCTTTTAAATATATTTCAAATTAAAAGCCTATCAGCCAATTTGGGTTTGAGGCCCACTGAGCTGCCAGAAGGCGTTAAATGCAAAATATCCATCGAGAAGCACAGACGCAGCTTGAGTTCAGCTCACTTGCCCCCTAGTGGCCACAGCCAAAAATGCAATAACACATTTAATAAATAAACTGGTGAATGAATTATCATCTACCTCGTTAAGTCTTCTTAATAACAGAATAGGAAACAAGATAACTTTCATTTACTTATAACAATAAATTAAGTCCTTGTGTTGGGACAGTCTGCCCTGCCTCCCTTGGTCGGTGGGCAGCCATAGTCTGAACACTGTCTCTAATGTACACCCAGCATTTAAAACTTTGGTCACGCTGCCACCTGGAGATCCCAATACACGACAGACCTCTATGTGTTTTAACATATATGCTAAGGTTCATATTAGACACCATGGGGTAGTTGTGTCAACGAGCCTGCGAGGCTCAACATTGGAGAAATGCTAATAGCTGGGATCTGTATCTGGTTTACTGTTGAGTTACGTGGTTTGTGGTAATTCTCTCTCATTGGGCAGATTAGTCGGGATATGAAAATGCACCTGCTAGTATCCTGATTATCAGTTTTTGTATACAGTACAGGCCAAAAGTTTGGACACACCTTCTCATTCAATGCGTTTTCTTTATTTTCATGACTATTTACATTGTAGATTCTCACTGAAGGCATCAAAACTATCAATGAACATATGTGGAGTTATGTACTTAACAAAAAAAGGTGAAATAACTGAAAACATGTTTTATATTCTAGTTTCTTCAAAATAGCCACCCTTTGCTCTGATTACTGCTTTGCACACTCTTGGCATTCTCTCCATGAGCTTCAAGAGGTAGTCACCTGAAATGGTTTTCCAACAGTCTTGAAGGAGTTCCCAGAGGTGTTTAGCACTTGTTGGCCCCTTTGCCTTCACTCTGCGGTCCAGCTCACCCCAAACCATCTGGATTGGGTTCAGGTCCGGTGACTGTGGAGGCCAGGTCATCTGCCGCAGCACTCCATCACTCTCCTTCTTGGTCAAATAGCCCTTACACAGCCTGGAGGTGTGTTTGGGGTCATTGTCCTGTTGAAAAATAAATGATCGTCCAACTAAACGCAAACCGAATGGGATGGCATGTCGCTGCAGGATGCTGTGGTAGCCATGCTGGTTCAGTGTGCCTTCAATTTTGAATAAATCCCCAACAGTGTCACCAGCAAAACACCCCCACACCATCACACCTCCTCCTCCATGCTTCACAGTGGGAACCAGGCATGTGGAATCCATCCGTTCACCTTTTCTGCGTCTCACAAAGACACGGCGGTTGGAACCAAAGATCTCAAATTTGGACTCATCAGACCAAAGCACAGATTTCCATTGGTCTAATGTCCATTCCTTGTGTTTCTTGGCCCAAACAAATCTCTTCTGCTTGTTGCCTCTCCTTAGCAGTGGTTTCCTAGCAGCTATTTGACCATGAAGGCCTGATTGGCGCAGTCTCCTCTTAACAGTTGTTCTAGAGATGGGTCTGCTGCTAGAACTTTGTGTGGCATTCATCTGGTCTCTGATCTGAGCTGCTGTTAACTTGCGATTTCTGAGGCTGGTGACTCGGATGAATTTATCCTCAGAAGCAGAGGTGACTCTTGGTCTTCCTTTCCTGGGTCGGTCCTCATGTGTGCCAGTTTCGTTGTAGCGCTTGATGGTTTTTGCGACTCCACTTGGGGACACATTTAAAGTTTTTGCAATTTTCCGGACTGACTGACCTTCATTTCTTAAAGTAATGATGGCCACTCGTTTTTCTTTAGTTAGCTGATTGGTTCTTGCCATAATATGAATTTTAACAGTTGTCCAATAGGGCTGCCGGCTGTGTATTAACCTGACTTCTGCACAACACAACTGATGGTCCCAACCCCATTGATAAAGCAAGAAATTCCACTAATTAACCCTGATAAGGCACACCTGTGAAGTGGAAACCATTTCAGGTGACTACCTCTTGAAGCTCATTGAGAGAATGCCAAGAGTGTGCAAAGCAGTAATCAGAGCAAAGGGTGGCTATTTTGAAGAAACTAGAATATAAAACATGTTTTCAGTTATTTCACCTTTTTTTGTTAAGTACATAACTCCACATGTGTTCATTCATAGTTTTGATGCCTTCAGTGAAAATCTACAATGTAAATAGTCATGAAAATAAAGAAAACGCATTGAATGAGAAGGTGTGTCCAAACTTTTGGCCTGTACTGTATATGAAGCCTCTGTTAGACATGTTACATTTCCACTAGGGTTTTTTTTTTTTTGTAAAAGGGGAACTACGCCCATTTTCAAAATTCATCCATATTATTCCAATGGCCTAGGATTATCCAGTAAACAAGGACAACTCTGTCTTAACTGAATAAACTAAAATGCTAAAACTCCAAAGACAATGAATTGGGAAAGATGTTCCAGACGACCAGCACTTGGGAATGTTCTGAGTACATGGGTACATTCTCTGTGACATTACGGAGAACACTACAACAGAAGAAAGCTCATTTGGGTATAAAAAAAAAGGAAAAAACAAATGAAAGAAAGTAAACAAAGGAAATAAAAATTTTATGGGTCCACATAAACAGACAGATTCATTGTCTATTGAGCAGCTCCAGGCTTGATGACATCAAAAGTTTTAGAATTCCTTTTCTGCTTTCTGGCTTTGAGAGAGAGTTGCACATGTTCATAAATACTAACTGAACTTTCCTTGGTCATAGAAATAAGATATTGGAGTTCTTAATTTTGGGGGTTCCCCTCAACCCCCAACCTTAAAGTTCAAACTGCTCCTATGGCAGGAAGTGTTGTCTTTGACTGACGGTAACTTAAAAGTGATTGAAAAACAAGAAAAGAAGAAACAATTCTTCTACAGTTCAGCATTTCTGTTGTAGAAGAGACACTGAGTTACAGTTAAAAGTACTAATCATTCGTTGGTTTCATCTTCTGAAAATGGAGGATTTTTTCTTTGTTGTTTATGATTTTATAATGAATTTTTTTGGACCTTGGACTGTTAGTCAAAATACAAATAAGTCACCTGGGATTTTAGGAAATTAAAAGGGATATTTTCACTATTTTCCAACATGGACCAATCACTTAATAGAGATAATAATCTGCACATTTATAAAACCAGTCAAAGTAATTGTTAGTTGTAGCCCTACCAGCAGGAACTTCTTTCTACCCAATTACAGCTGCCTACCGAATCACCGCACAGAAGGAAGTGTGCATCTACTCATGAACGAGAGGCTCATGCTAGCGCGATATGTAAACATTAATGGCGTCAGTGGTGCTATGTGAGTAGTACAGTGGTGCTATGTGAGTAGTAGACGCATGCCTCCTTCTGCACTGTGATACAGTTGGCAGGTGTAGTTCGGCAGAAAGAAAATAGTTCCTACATGAAACTGCTCACAACAAGGTCTGCGGATTATCTTGAGTAACTAGGTCATGGTTTCTGGAAAGAGACATTGCTGTTGAGTTTTTCAAATTTATTTTTTTGGGCATTTTGAGCACCACAAGCCAGGTGCCATCCAGTTCCATTATACTGGAGAGAAGGCAGACATTTCTAAGGCTGATATCTCCAACCCTTGACAATTCACAGCAAATCCATCTAGATTGATAAATAGCATGACATCTAAGAGAAAAGGTATGTATTTTTTATTTTTAGGTGGACTGTCCCTTTAAGACTTTTTCCAAAGTTTCTGAAATCTTTTCTGTTGTTTTCAGGAAAGCAGAAACAAGTCCACTACTCATGTTACTTTCATATAACAGAAACAGACCAGTGACCTCAACACACAAAAGTAGTTTTTCGACCAAGGTTTACCTGTGCTGCCATGTCCACCAGGTTTGGCAGCTTCAACCCTCGCCCCTCTCCGTCCTTCAAGAAGTCCAGCAGACTTCCTGCAGCAGACATAAACACATGTCTGATGTCAGTCCGAGTACACATACACACACTGAAGACACAAACTGCTAGTCTTCGATCCACCAGCGAATCAGTGGTGCCCTACTGCTCCCACCCTCCACAGGAACTGTTTTTAATTCAGCAATTACCAACCACAAGCAATAATCTGACAGCTGAATGGTCCGGAGACATGAGGTTTGTAATTTGTCTATTCACTTCTGATTTATATCATCAACAGTAATGACAGTTAGAGGATAAATACAGGATTGTGGGATTTGATGACCACCACAAATACTTTGACATTCATAAAATTTCACACTGGGTCTTGCCTTTTGGAAACACATTCTCCTCTCCAACTTAATGGGCTGACCTAGATGTGGCAGCAGCCTCTGCATGCAACAGACACAGTGATGCACATCAAAGTTTACATTCTTGTGTTTTCTGGTGTTTAATGTGCGTCCACAGCTCTTTCTTGTGGGGTTTCTAAATTCCAGTGTTTTTGGAGGACTGTTTTGAAGACCTTAATCATCTTCAGTCTCTTTGAAACTCAGGGTTTACCAGAACTGTTCTTATTATTCTGACTGAAATGGAACAAAAACACTTCTGCTTAAATGAACAACATTTTTTGCAAAGCCGGCATGCTTGGCACATAATATATGGAATACAATGCTTTAGATCTAAACCTTTTTGTACATTTTACTGCGCTATTGTTTCGTTTTTTGTTATTGTGACAACTCAGATCAAACAAAGCAAAGAAGTTGAGACTAATCCCATTCATTTTTTTTTTTACCCACAAGCAGTAGGGCTGTCCATTAACATGTCAGTCCATCTACAAACACTACATTTACTGTGGGTATCACGGGTGCCACCTTCCCTTTGGATCCAAGATTTGAATCCAAACAGTACATTTGTATTATTCATGTAGATCCAGTGAGTTTTGGAAATGGGGTGAGAAAGAAAGGGAAAGAATCTGTGACATGATCTCCATGGAGTCTACTGTTCCACTTGTTCCACTTGCATAACGTTCCTGATGTTAGCGCTCTGAGCAGGGTCCAGAATTACCATTTGACAAATATTGAGTAAAAATATGAATTGGTAAATAAGAGAAATTATGTCAGCTGCCATTGGCGGGTTGCTGAAATAAGCCTATTCACTAGAAAAGTCTCATCACTTCAACACATAAGTTGATTGACCATATTTGGCTTTACACCAGCTCTGCACACTGGTGACGGAATGAAACGTATGAGTGTCAATAATTGTATTGCAATTCTTTGACTGACCCTCACTGTCCACTGTCTCTATGGTTACTTAGAAGAAAGAGGATGAAAAGATGTAGTGGAGTAGAAGTATAAATTAGCATAGAATGGAAATACACAAGTAAAGTACGAGTGACTCAAATTTCTACTTAAGTCAGCAATGGTACTTGAGCAAATGTAGTTAGATTCTGCCACTGCAAACAGGATCTTATCATTTGTTTGTGTTAAAATGTATTTTATGCAGTTAACCTAATGTGGAGATTGCATTTTTTGATAAATTTACAAAAAAATATTCATGCTTCCAGGAGGATGAACCCTTTCCTTTTTCAGCATACAAACTTTGCCTTTTTTTTTTTTTTTGCTTCCCAAAAGGATAAACCCCTTAAGGCCTCAACACACTATGCTGATGGTCGGCCATTTGTGTTCGCCTGTGTCCCGCACCGTTGCCCCTCATCGGCCGCTGTCTGTTTTTTTCCAGCCAATTCAGCATGTTTAATCAGTGTAAGCAAGGGCAGAGCCCCTTGGTGAATGAAATCACCATCATTGGCAGGTCTGCTCACTGCATGAAAAGAGAAACTAAAGTGAGGAAAGTAAACAAATTGCTAAAATCAAGAAGTGAGACCAAAACAAACTTTTCTATTAAGTAAGATTATTTTTCTTAAGCCACTGAGATCTTTAGCACAAACATTTTGTGATAGTTTGTGTTATTGTTCAGTGGCGCATGGTAAATATGCTTTGTTCTTTCAACATTGGGTTGTGTTGTTAATGTGCTAACTGGCTAACTAGAAACAAGAAAGTTGTCTGGTTTCCCTTTTTGAATGACACATATAGACTGCCACAGTCTGCTGGTGTGGAGAATTATTTCCTCTTACGCAGGTGCAAAACGTATGTGCTGGTCGGCTGTAGTCTTTCTGGTGTGTTATGTGCAACTTTTTGGCCAAGACACAGGCGACGTGAGGATATGCAACAGTCTGCTTTGGTGGCTGTTAGTTCTTTGAAGTCAGTTTGGTGTGTCTGGGACTTTGGATTTTAATGAATAATATTTCCTCTCTCACAGCCCTACTGCGCTAACACTGTGTGCAGACATTTGTGAAGCATTTCTTACACTGACTTTATGGTTGAGCACCTCCTGAAAAATGTAAATAGACTTCGGGGCTACAGCAGCTATGGAGATATTATGTGGGGGCCACAACAGCTGTGGTCAGCAAGATGGCAGGAGAGATTGTTGATAGTGAGGACAATATAAAAGAGGTTGGACTCAGATATCTGCTGCCTTTGAGTAACACAAATCTAACAAAGACATCTTCACTGTGAACCTGCTGCTCACTTTGATCACTGCTCTCTTTCACAGAGAATGAAACAATGCAAACACGACTCTAGTATTCTTATATTCCAGTGGTTCCCGAAGTGGGTACAAAAGATGGACCAAATCATTGTAAATCTATTGTGTGTTCTTAAAACATTTCACCAAATGGTGAAAAAATGGTGTCACTGCATTAACAATGTTTAATATGCAGTTGTGTTGCAGCTAACGACATTGCAACTTACGATCACCAGTAATAACACAACATGCCGGCTCTAGAGTTTTTCAGGTTCACAGCAGACAGAAAAATATTTTTTGATATTTAAAGCAAAATCATCAGCATGTTGTACACTCTCTCCCTAACCTCTACATAATGGGTTCTGACACAATAATGGCTTTGGAAATGGATTTGTGCCATTTTGTTGCATAAAGCTTCAGGTTGGGTCGGCTTAGGGTTTTGTTATTTTCAAATATAATTCAGTAAGAAATGCCTCTCTTCCTCTCTCGGACTGTGCCATAATTTGTCTGTGTCCATGTGTGTCATGCACTGTAAGAAGGTACACAATGCTCTGGGAAACATATGGAAAGAGACAGAGACAAAGTGTTGCATTAGCCTGGCGAGCTAACCATCAGTAATGGATGACATATAGTAAAAATATAGCTTCAGGTCCTAAGTCAGGTATTACGGAGTGTTGTGAACACTGCAGCCTCAAAGGGCTGCTCATTAGTCATTACACTTTGGGTCTTGAATCCACTTTCTACAGTTCTGTTTTCTGTATGGAAGCTATTTTTTACTGTACTGAATAACTGCATAACTAAATGTGCGAAAAGTCATTGGGACTGAATGCTGTATCCATTCCAGTTGTGTGAATGCACATTTGTGTTCCTCTACCTTTGCCCATGTACTCCGTGACGATGTAGATGGGCTCCTCAGACACCACGGCGTACAGCTGCACCAGCTTGTCATGGCGGAGTTTCTTCATGATCTGAGCCTCCTCCAGGAAGGACTCGGGGGACATGGTGCCAGGCTTCAGAGTCTTCACTGCCACCTTGGTGGTGCCGTTCCACGTTCCTGGCGCACGCACACACATGCTGACATCAGCACAGCGGGAACATCGATTCATATTCAAATCACATCCTTTCAAAGTCAGACTTGCCAACCCCGCTGTCTAACCTGAGGAGCTGATTGGCAGCTGAGTCGACTGTAGTCATAAAACAGGGGGAAAAGTCTTGCTTTGAAATGACAATGAGATAAACATGCAACACAGAATGAGACCAGGAGACAGTATGAGAATCTGTTTGTCTGTAATTCTCATGCACAGAAGTCTGCTGAAGGATAATTAAATGGGTATGAGATTTAGAGTGGACCTTGATTTGAAATGGCTTTTAAAAGCCAGGAGAGGGATCCAGCAGGGCTCTGAGAGCCACAATACGCCAACGCGGAGCAGATAATCCTTTGTAGGATGATTAACAAAGGCAAGCCTGTAAGCTCCTCACTGGTTTCATGCCAGTTACTGCAACACAGCATGACTATGCCACCAATGTGCTCCGCCTCTGGCTACTACGCATAGTAAGATATGGATCACTGTAATCACTTCAACAAAGTAGTACTCCATTTATCTCATTCTGTGACAGTAATGGGTGCAGGGATATTAGTATGTGACCCAAAGGAAAAACACAGCCTATCAGCTAACATTTGGTCTACTCTACATGTGTTTGGGGGTTTAATTTCAGAGTAAGTCCATAAATCAGAGTAGGCTTTTTTAGTGATGCAGCTGTGGACACATTTGGGGAGTCAGGACTGAGTGGGTGATGGTCACCTGCTGGGTTGTGAGGTAATAGGATCCCAGAGGCTGGGTGTCATTTGGGAGAAGCCCTGTCCTCAGTATCTGTCCAGATGGAATTGCTATGATAAGAATGCACACCCTAATATTCTGCAGTATGGAAGTCCAAAATGGCCAAAACTAAACATTAATACATTTTTTAAATAAGGAGAGTAAAACATATGTATGAAAATGAGCAAATAAACAGTAAAATTACGTAACAAATCATTGAAACGTTTGCATGCAAGCAATTAACATTACTGGGAAAATTTTATTTAGTGTTTATTTAAGTGTTTGCAGATAAATAATATTTCTCTAGTGTGCGCACCTCTAAGACGACCTGTGTATGTGGTCAATTGAAAGGAGCGCAGCGACACAATGTTGACAAACTAGCACTAGCAACTTTAGCTTACAAGCTAGTGACTGTTTTTTTAGCTTAACAAGACTACAGATGCTAGCTAGCTAGCTAACTAGCCAGTTATAAGGGCAAATGTTAACAACAGTAGCTAGCCAGCAAATTATTATTTTTTTCTTCTTTTGAGAAAGCACTCTGTGAAATGGCAAACACAGTCTTCTTCTTTTTGTGTTTTGCTTTGCTTTATACATTTATCTTTATCCATTAACTGTAATATTGACCCTTTTGGAGTTCCATACTGCACTCAATGCTGTATTCAATTAATTACTGGAAATAACAGCAAAGCAGAAATTTGTATTTATAAATAAGAACTGATTTTTCTAAAGGCTTTTTTTATGGATTATGTTTAACAAACACAAAAATCCTTCAGGAATGCTGGAGAGGGATAAGAAAGCAGTTGCTTTCATCTCCAATTAGCAGACAAAATTGCAAACAGTTTCTTGGCATACTTAAGAATGCCAGGGAAAGGATAAATAAAAATATTCACATTTATTTCCAGGGTGGCCCAAGGTAAACAACAAGGGTACTTTTTGGGGGGGATTTCCTTACCGTAAAACACATCAGCAAAACATCCTGTCCCCAGCTTTACTTCCAAATCAAGTGCGTCTCTGCTGATCTCCCAGGCATCATGACTCAAGCCCATAGTGTCAGGGATGTAGTTCACACACACGCCCGTTAAATTAAAGCACAAACCATCCGCACTCTCTACATGGGGAGGGAAGGCAAGGCACACAGGGTTAACTACAGGGGAGAGGAACATGCAGTGAGGGACATGGAAAGGAGCCATCTTCAGACTGTGGGAGCAGAGTCTCCTGACACTCTGGATGTTTTTCCAGATGATTTTGGTCGGGAGGGGTCAGAAACCAGAAGCATTTCCCTAGCAAAAGTCCCAAACTGAGAATTATCAAAATTTCTTGCCCCATTTTCTCATTTGATCCCCTCCCTTCCCAGGCCAGATTATCTGCTTGTGTTTTGGAGTCGGTCTGGTGTCTCTGCTGACTCAGTGTGGCCCCTTCCATGCGGCCTCTTCTTCTGGAGGCGACTGGATCCGTACCCATCCAGACCTCCCCAAACTGCCCATTCCCAAGACGCTTGATGAGCTGCAGCGACTCCCGCGGGATCTCCCACACGTCTTTGGTTTTAACAGACAGGTCGGCGAGGCGTGGCATCCCTTTGTGACAGGGAACCACCAGGCGACAGCAGAGCCCGGCAGCTCGGTCTGCACGCGCCGCACAGCATTGCACAAATAAGAGCAGAGACAGAAATGCACAGAGAGTTAGCAGAGCATTCTGCAGCAGAGGGGAAAGTCCCAAAGCAACACAAGAACTAGAATGAAAAAGAGCAGCGTAAACATGAAAATCAGGCTGCATCCAGGTCAGGGGATCCAGTAGTAATCGGTCTAATGTGGTCTCTGTGTTCCTAACTGATCATCAAATCAACCAGAGAGCTCACTCTTTATTCCTCTCCATCTATCAGCTGATATATAACTTTAACTTCGGTAGAGCACATCATTATTCTGGGCTGAGAGATGCAGCTACAAAATTTTCTCTTCCTGACTTGCACTTTATTATCATCAGGGACAACTGGCAGTGACATATACACTCAGTTGCCAGTTTATTAGGTACACTAAGCAAAAACAAACGCTATGTAAAACAACAGTGACCAAATGTTTCCCCTTCTGTTCCTGACACTGAATAATGGCAGATCATCATGGTGTCAGGATGAGGTTGACCTTTGAGATATAAAATGTCATCACTTCATCATTTTAGTCTATTAGACATTTGTGTAAAATTTTGTCAGAATTGACATATACATTACATCCAAAAACATGTCTTGTGAGGTCACAGTGACCTTGACCTTTGACCAACAAATTCTAACCACTTCATCCTTGACCCAAAGTAAAAGTAGAAATTTGAAAAACTTCCTTCAAGGTGTTCTTGAGATATTCCGTTCACGGGAATGAGAAGGTCACAGTGACCTTGACCTTTGACCACCAAAATCAAATCAGTTCAGTTCAGCATTGAGTCCAAGTGAACGTTTGTGCCATGTTTGAAAAAAAAAATCCCTCAATGCGTTCTTGAGATATCGCGTTCACGAGAATGGGACAGACGGATGGACGACCTGAAAACATAATGCTTCCGGCCATGGCTATTGTCAGCGTGGTGGCATAAAAAAGGGTTGCTTTTTCATGTAATGCACCTGGAAAATATTATGTTGAGGACACTGTCATACTTTGTTGTGCAATGTGATTGGATTGTCACGGTGAGCCTATCTGGCATGTCTACTTGAAATTTGTGTGTACTGGCATGAGCAGCATAGGGTTGGCTCAGGCTTGCCAGATTATCAAATCTGAAAATACTGAAAGCACATCTCCTCGTCCATGTCCCGCATTTGTTGGACCAAACACATTCACCTATAGTTCCCTTGTCCACCTGTCTTCTCAGCAGAAGTAAGTTTAAAATCTCTTGTTGTTGTCTAGCATGTTGTAAGGCCATACAGAGTGGACACTATTTGTTGCAGGACATTTAAATAAACCTGTATAGCTAGATGTAGCTTTGGAGTTGTTTTAGGGATACCTGGTGCTAGGATGTTATTTAGGATATAATTTTCTCCACAGTATCTTGAGGTCTTTTTGCAGTGGCCCAATCTTGCTGAATGAATAAACAGTAAAAATATCTCATCCTGCAGTTGAAGCTGGAGAAAAACAAGTGTGGGTGCAGGTTATAGGAAAAATAAGGCTCGATGTTATGGCCCACTTTGGGTAATGGCATCTCCGACTCGCATATACTTTACGATGATGACAGTAATTTATGTAAAGAGATAGCTCCGGCTGTCAGTCACTCATCTGAGAAATGTACATCTACAGTTGTGGTTAAACATAAAGATGGAGCGCTGGGACTTTACGCACCATGAGAAGCATTAATGACCATGCTTGTTTAGGCAACTGAGTGGCACTCCAGCTGCTTCCATTTCGATCTTCTCTGGCTGATGACACTGTGTCATCTGTGTCATGAAATCAAACATCTCTTGCTTTTACTCTGGAGGAAGCTCTCATGTTTGCTCGTGATTGATTAAGCCAGCAGGTTAGGGCAGAGTTTCCGTTTGTACCTCCATGCTGATATCTAGTGAAACCCCCTTCTTACACAGCAGGGACAAAGTGACCCCCCTTCCTCCCCCTGCCGCCAGTGATAAGGCCCCAGGTTGTTTGCATGAGGCAGTAAAGACGAGATAAAGGCCTTGCGTCTCACCCATGGGAGTGTTCAACCTGCAACTCGGCCATCAAAGCCCATCTGGGCTGCCTGTCTGCTGCCTCAGCTGTTCCGCTCAGACATCAATACAGCTCTATGTTCACTCTGCTGGTTGTCATAAAACCTGTCAATATGTGGACTGTATCCACGCACCATGCATCAAAACAGCCAGTGTTTCCTAGAAAGGTGTGACAGCTTCAACTGATGAACTTTGTGCTCTGATAAGTTCATCACTCCCTGATTAAAGCACATTACATTTTAAAGGACTTATCTCTTAGATCTTCATCTTTGTGACAGAGCAATTATTCAACCTGCTACTAAGATTACATCATCATTTAATTTCAAACTTTCTAACTGGCAGCCGTGAGAGGTATTTTAAAACAGGCACTGATCCAACCTGGGCAAAATGAATTAATGGGCACAGACTGCACCATTTTTCACCAGGATTGTCTCGTTCGGACAAACAAAACCTTCAGAAGAATGTGAAAGATGCTATAGTCACATACAGATTTCATACACAGTGCCTTCAAATTGTGACTATGCAACTTTTGCTGAACCACAGGTCGCGATTAGAGGATACTGGCTCACTAAATTTTCCTTCACTTCCTCAGATCCTTGAGTCAGTTCATGATTAGGCAACATGGGTGTGAGTGAGCGGGAGCAGTAAACAACAAATATGTTTACTGATAAGGTACTGTGCATTTACATTTTATATTATCTAGTGGTTTTACTGCTCTTGGAATGACACCATTGTAAAGTTTATCAGTGACATGTTAAAATCGTAAAATGCTAAAAATCAAAACACTCACAGTGAGCCAAATTATGAGAAACTAAATCTAAATTATGAGATAGTAGGTCAAAAACATTGACTTGCTAACTCTTAAAGAGACAGTTCACCCCAAAATCAAAAATACATATTTTTCCTTTTACCTGTAGTGCTATTTATCAGTCTAGATTGTTTTGGTGTGAGTTGCAGAGTGTTGGAGATATCAGCTGTAGAGATGTCTGCCTTCTCTCCAATATAATGGAACTAGATGACACCCAGCTTGTGGTGCTCAAAGTGCCAAAATAAGACATCTGAAAAACTCAACAGCAATGTCTCTTTCCAGAACTCATTACCTGGTTACTCAACACTTCATTTGAGCTGAAATATGATCGGGTCCAACAAAAAAATAAAAATAAAAAATGAGGCCTGCCCCTACATGAAGCGGCATAGTTTCTGTCCAGTGCAATCCACGCCTGATTTATGGCAGCAGTTTTGGCCTGGAGCCTGAGTATTTTTAGAAAAATATTTAAAAAACATTTATTACAAGCTAAAAACAGCTATCGCTTATCCCACCCAATTCAAGCCCGGGGTAATTTCAAGAAGTAAGAGCTCGGCCTGGCCTGAAGCTGGTCGGTTGAGTTGGGTCCAATCGGTTTCAGGCAGAGAATCAACACTCTACTTGTGAGTGGTTTATTTATCACAGAAGGAAGCGTGTATCTACTCCTGGACGAGAGGCTTGTGCTTTTGACAGCACAAGAAGTAAACATTATTGCCGTCCTCCTCGGCTGAGCTGTAACGTTAGCTAGCTCAGTGGTGCTAGGTGAGCCAGTGGTAGATGCAAGCCTCCTTCTGCACGGTGATATATGGTTTTTGGCGCTTTAAACACCACAAGCCGAGGGGCCATTTAGTGCCATAATGTTGGAGAGAGGGCCGACATCTCTATGGCCAAAATCTCAGACCCCATAAGAATTCACACCAAAACAATCTAGATTGACTAATAGCACTGCAGGTTAGCAGAAAAATGTGTATTTTTGATTTAGGGTCAACTATCCATTTAACTTTTTGACTAACTATCTCAAAAGTAAGTCAGAATTTTGATTCACTACTTTATTAAGTCAACATTGGTGGATTTATGAGAGATTATGTAAACATTCTGATATCAAATTGCTATCTAAAAAAGTATTTTGACTTGGTAAGTTACAATAATGAGATGGTAAGCTGACATGTTGACTCAATTTGGTCTGATTTTGACTGACCATTTTTCATCATTCATTCATCTTTTCATCTATTTTTTTTCTTTTATTGGTGGGAACGGGGTTTCCCACATTGTGTTGACTTCAGCAAGGCTGCTATATTGCTTTTGAATTAATTTTTTTATTTGAAAGATGAAGAATGGGATGTTTGTTCTGTCAGACATTACATAATCTTGCTTTTGATGCGATCTGCATTCAGATTTGCAGTGTTGCTGTTTCTCAAGGCCACCTGTGTTGTTCCTTTCTCATCCCTTCAAATGCATCTGAAGAAAAGCTGCTACAGTAAATGATGCCAGATATGCTCTTTAGCTCTTTCAAGAATGAAAACAGCGGAAAGCAGAAAGCAATAAAAGCACAAGCCCTGAAAAGAGTCAAGGTTATTTGCAAAGATGCGTCGTCAGCTCCGTATGTCATCTGGAATTGTGATGAATAAATGGTGATAATGTAGGGGGATGGTTAATGTGCCATGACACAAACACACAGAAAATCTATGGTGTTGATTTTAGGACTTTAACATCAATATGCCAATGCGGCAATTAGAGCGTGACAGGAAAAATATCCTTTTCACAGAGGATGAGAGTGATAAAACACAACAAATGTAAGATGACATTTGAGAACACAGACTGAGACATACATCATTGTTACTCCTAATAGAGTGCGAGAAACAAATGTGAACCAACTGAAGAGCGAGGAAAAACACAGCACATGTGAGTATTACACAGGACAGGAATAATCACTGTCTCTTCCTGTAAATCTGATTATCAAATATGTGTGTCAGCAGCACAGATGCAGAGGTCATCTCCTGACAGCGCCCACAGCCAGGAGGAACAAGCTCAACACACATACAAACACACATCTGGGTGATGCAAACTATAACTCACACACTAACTCCCTGTCTCCCTTTGCTTGAGAGGAGTGCTAAAAAAGGTGCCTTTCCTCTCTAAAGAATGTCGTGTGTCTCGTTCGCTGCTCAGTAGTGCTGCATTATAAACAGACTGTGAATCTAAATAAAGGCGCATGTAAGGCAGCAAATGGAGCTAATTTGACATATAGCAGCTCTCCATTTCTTTGTGCTTTGCGCCTCATGGTAAGTGCCACCTTTTATTCCTGTATGTGAAAATGTGCAGATGCAATTATAGTGTAACAGTGTCTGCTTAATGCATTCTAGATCAATTCAAGGAAATGGACACCGGACAGAAGAGAAGACTGTGACGTTGCTATTTGGGCTTCTGCAAAATGGGGCCACAGTGTCAACGCTTTGTCTCCATTATATCACACAGCATCTCGCTATGGCAACATCTGTCTATTTCCCTTTTTAATGAGAGAGTGGGCAATGCAATGCATGAGCCACACTGCAGCCAGACCACTGAGGGGCAGCTTCAGTGGTTTATTTTTTTCAGGCTAATTCACATACCATATTCTTTCAATGCTATAGCTGCACTGGGCAATAGCTTTATGTAAATCACAAATGCAGATCACATGTTTTGAGGCTTTGTGTTAGTGATCCAGCTTCTCAACTTCGCAGATTGCAGACATGATGTCTACATTTAGTTGTCTTTTAGGTCTGTATTTGCTGCAGTTTTTCACTGCTTCAGTCCAGGACACAGAATAAAGGGTTTGGTATTTTTCAACCTGGACTCTTTTTCCTACATTTCTTTGTCAAAGTGACTTAATAAAAAAATATTGGTATTTTATTATGCAGTACTGCGAAGTCAGAAGTCAACCAGAACATAACCTAAAGTACACATCTAGATATAAAGGCAGTATAAATGTCATTAAGAGCGTAGCATACCTGAGTAGTGCTGAACCAGCTGCTGCAGCGTGTCAAACTGAGCCCTGGTGGTGATGTAGTAGCCGCCACTGTCCAGCTTGCGGATCTTATAATGCTTGACATGATCACCTTTCACATCGTCCCAGTCCCGTATGGACAAGGAGAAGGCACCTGGGGACACACACAGTTCAGGGGTTTAGTCACTAAGCATCAAAAGCTTGTCCATCAGGATATATCTAATCACAGAATAATCAAACAAGACTGAGAATCTAAGTCAGAAGCAGTCAGCGCTCACTATAAGTACCTGACGCTTAAAAAGTTGCTGCTGTGGAATCAATTTGGTTGTCACTCAAAAAACATTGAGATTGTAGACTTGGCTGTAGCTAACACACTGTTGCAGTTCGCAAAAGACTTGTAGGAAATGTCAATAAAATATTCTTTTTTTCCCACAGAGGTAGTGAATCCATCATGACATGAACACACACAGGTTGATAGATAGTATAAGTGTATCTGTGCTTTTACCCTTTGTGGTTTCACTCTCCCGGATGAGATACGTTCCTCGAGGATTTCCAGTGGACAGCAGTTGCCTCTCTGCATCCTTACGGCCCAGTTTCCCAAAGTACCAGCTGCAATTACAGGAGGAAACATGTTAACCCAAAAACCACAACTCCATATACATAAAATTACACATAAATTAAACAAAATGGAGGTCATTCTGAGACCAATCCCGTACACTTGCAGTCACTTGTAGTCACTGTGTCCAGTAGTTTTTGACCCCACACCCCTGTCATTAAGACCTAAGAGTGTGCAAGAACTTTGTTGTTGTTCCTCGAAATTCCAGAGAAAGACAGAGCTTGTGATCAGTGCATTCTGAGGAAAGCTGCTCAACTCTGTGCAGATGTTGGAAAAGTTTTTCCTGCTCCCGACTTCCCCCATAACACACGTACATAAGCGTTTTCCCCTGACTGAGCCAGGCTGACTGTCCGTACAAAAAGTGATTGTTCAATTGTGACTATTCTAAGACTCCTTTTGTCTTTGTTTTGTAATGAATGGGTATTAAAAAAAGTTTGTTCCAGTGTATCGTGTTACCTGCAGTTCTGACTGTGGCAACTATGCCAGAACGCTGCATATTGTCCAGGCCCTGAAGATAAATCCTAATATTGACCTCCTGACTTTTCCTACGGTAGTCTTCTGAGGCCATAATTTCCTCTTGGCAAGAAATACATGTACAAACAAAGACACAAGACATAATAAAGGATTTTTTACACCTCTAATTTATTTTATTAATGTTGCATATTGCCTCGGGTTTGGCTTGTGTTCACATGGAAGTATTTACAAGTGGACAAAACTTGTGATGAGCGAGGAAACTGCTCTAATTGGTCAGAATTTCCATTCAGGAAAACAAAGACTAAAAGAAGAGCAGACTCCTCTGTCCCAGAAATAGATTAATGCGCCACTTTCCAATGTCATAATGGAGGGCTAAATATGCTGGTTCATCTCAGCCCTGGTCATCATTTGTTACATTTTTGCATTTATCACTTTTGGCAAACAATACAGTTTGAAAATGAGGCGCAGCTGCGGCTGGAAAATAATGTGTTGATGCTCTGGTGTGGGGCATATTAATCCTCCTGAACCGTGACACGCTCATCAGCTGAAAATATTTTGGAAGATCCGACAGGTATACCCATGGTCATCAACACAGCCAACACATGCTCATTACTGATGTGAGTAGAGAGGGCAGGCATAGTGCAGCTGGCTACAGGAGCTGGTTTAATCCAAAAAGACACAATCAGGGTGCCCATATATTTTCATGGACAAAATTTCAACATTTTTTAATGACTTTTAAGGACCTATAATGTTTTTTTTCTTGCCCAACTTGCCTGGCATTTTAAAAGATAGCAGATTCAAACTCTATTTAAACATAATTTCAGATAGCTGGCATACATGAAAGGACAGACGGAACATAGAGTGTAAATCTAGAAACGTGCAAGATGATAAACAAAATGCTGTCACACCTCAACTCATATTAGTGCTATATAATGTTGGCATCTACAAAAAATAAATATGCCGTTATACATTACATGGAAGGTTATCTATGGAAGATTACTGTAACTCTTTACACACAAGAAAATTCCATGACTTTCCAAAAACTTCCAGTGATTTTTTACTGATTCCATGACTTTTCCAGGCATGAAAAATGTGATTGTAAAATTACATGACTTTTCCAGGTTAACCATTACTGTCGGAACCCTGCACAATCCTTACTCCAGTTGGTTCGGACTGAGGTTGGATCATGTTCTTACCATAAACCATACCAGAGTTTGTCTGTGCCCAAAACAAGTAGCAACATCTCTTGTTTTATTTTGCACCCTAGTGCGATCGCTGTGTTCACACATGGCTAAACAAAGCACACCAAATTGGTAAGCACTCCAGGGTTCGATAAAACAGAACCAAATGTGTGAAAACATCCTAAACTGTATTAGACAGACTGCTGTGACCTTTACTGAGAACATTCATACTTCCCAGATGATTTTGTGGACACTCATTTCTCCATGTCTTCAGTGCCACCCTCAGGACACGATACATTTTTAGCCCTGTGATGGGTAAGGTGCTACAGCTAGCCTCTCAGTAGGATGTTAATCGGGTTTAACACTTAGATAATGTAGGACCTAAGTGGCATTCCAGCCACTAGGGACTGCTTGTGGGGTTTACACTATTCGTTTGATTGTAAATAAGTCAGGTCCTTTGGTTTGTAAACACTCTGACTCTAACCCAACAGCTAGCCTGTCATACGGACTGTGACTAATCAAGGCATGCTGCCTTCATCCCTGCAGATTTGTGCGTCAGTGACAAACCTCCAATTATGATTATTATCGAATACAGTATATTTCTCATTAAACTGCAACTAAAAACAATGGTCAACACGCAGGAACACAGAAGTAAAGGTGAAACTTTTCTCACCTAACTTTTCAAAGAGCACTGCGCTTTCAAACTACACCAAGAGAAGCAAACTAACACAGGAAATGTGAGCAGTGTGACACCAAAGTGCGTATTTCACAGAGGTAGATCTGTGTTGATAAGCTGAGCTGCACCCACACCTCCTCTGTTTTAATCCCAGCATGCGCCACTGGGCTCATAATAAGATTTTACCTCACAGTGAACTGAATAAATCTTTATTCAGAAACCTTATTCTGATGGAGGGCTGGAAGCAGGTGGATGGAAGAGGGGGGGTTCAGGTTTGTGGCAGCAGTCGATGCCACACGCACACAAAACCACATACAGATGGAGAAGATTAAAATACCCTTCCTCATAATCATATGTCATAGTGAAACTGAATAATCATATTCATGCTATGAATAAATGCACTAAATAACCGTTGGGGGGGGGGGGGGAAATCCCCACAAGCTTGGATATATGGACCTCTCACCCACAGTCTGGCTGGCATTTCAAATACCCAACCCATCTCTTTATAGTGTCACATAAATGCCATTTTATCAGGCCAGTAGGAACGTGCGCCAGAGGGGAAAGTAGAAACTGTAGGATGACGACGCCTTTTTTCTCCTGAATTTTGTTCCTCTGAAGGTTAGGTCTGCACATGCGCAGATGTCAGTCTGCGGTCTTGCCTTCACTAATCTCGAGTTACCTCAGAGCACATTCTAGATGAAAGTCACTAGTCCTGGACCCAGTGTGCTGTGGGCCTCTGAGGAGCATTCACACACACATACACACACAGACGACTTACTCCTCAGCCTGGATGGAGTCCACTGGAGCCACGTAATTACTGGGAATGTAGCCACTGCCACCGGTGGTGAGCGAGCGAGCATCCCACCAGTCCCCTTCACTGGAAAAGAGAAAGAGGATCGGGAGAAAGGGAAAAGAGAACAGAGGACAGAAGAAGCACATTAATACACTTCATTTCATTGAACACATCCAAGTACAGCTTTAGTTTGACTTGCTTTCGAGTGCTGTCCATGTGGTTAACATATAGGGTCAAGTAGTAAGTAGTGTGGAGGGCAACATGTGGCTGTAGAAAGGCAGTCTGGGGTCTGTTTATTCAATAGAAACACATGTTAACACTGTTAAGACTAATCAAGGGCCAGTCAAAGGGTAACGCTGACAATGTAAGTTGTCATATGACAGACACAATGGTCTTGATAAACTTACAACTACCTCTGGCTAAAAAATCTGAACAAACAGCAAAACAAACACAAACACAACCAGCAGCAGTGCTAATAGTCCGCTAAACATAAATATCTCTCTTTGAGTTCATATTGTGCCATTATTTGATCTCTATACATTTTCTTTATTTGAGTAACAGTTGAACATTTCAAATCTTACAAAAAATGACTGTGTGAGCAAAGCAGAGCCACAGTCTGGACATGGTTAGCCTAGCTTAGCATAAAGACTAGAAGCAGGGGGAAACTGCTAGCTTGGCTCTATCCAAAGTTTACAAGTTGTTTCATGTTTGTTACACATGTACAGACAGTAATGTGAAAGGGAAAAGTTCTAGAAGAAGTTAGGAGCTGTAGGCTAACTGTTGCTTAGCTAATAACAGTGGTACAGTGTTGCTGTTCAACAAGAAATCCATTAGCCCTACCATGTAGCTCCCTCTAAGATATAAACCTCTTTTTATATTTCTTTTCCTATATGGTTTAAACAAGGTATAACGTCAGAAATAATCAGAGGTGTCGGTAGACATATTTATTCACTCTGGAAGGAGCCAAGCTAGCTGTTAACATCCAGCTTCCAGTCTTAAATGCTATGCTAGGCTAAACACATCCTGACTCCAGCTCTGTAGGGGAGACCGGGGTTGGTTGGCACACCTTTCACTCTGTGTTGCACTCCTCTGTCTTAATTTATGTTAGAATATTCTAACCAGCAGCAAATGACAGATTAAGGTCTCAGCTATGGATAAAGATATTTGAATGTACACAAATAAATAAGTGATTTGTGATTAAAATCATGTTGTGGTTTTGTGCCAAACAGGCCCATCATGGGGCTAGTTATGGAGATGGCTGCAGCCAACCTTCCAAAAAAAAAAGAAAAAAAAAAAAGCAACCAATAGATGTGATATAATAAAAATAAACATTGTTTTTGGACTTTCAAAATACTTTTAATCTCTCAAAATACAGTTACAGTTGCAACTCTTAATTTTACAATTTGGCACATGTGCCAGCCAACTCCAACATCAGTGTGCCAACAAACCCTGCTCACATTTAAACCAACTTATACTAAATTATGTTAGTGAGTTACCATTGTCCATTTGAGACTTTCAAATTTGATATCGAAATGTAGCTAATTCCAATATTTAATAGCCAAAAGTAATACATTAGTAAATGAGTGCACTCCAAGACAGTAAGCATTTTGATGTTACATGTCAGTTTCTGTGACCTTCAAAAGACCAGGAAATAGCTGTGTGCCAACCAACCCTGGTCTCCCCCAAAGTACTTTAGTAACACAGACATGTGACTGACATCAATCTTCTCTCACACAGTTGGAGTCAAATTATAAAATTCAGTGGGAATTGGTTTAAAAGGTTAAAGAGATAAAATGATTGGACAATAAGTGTGTTCTTAATAGGTGATATCTGTTTAGTGGACTGTAATTGGCTGGTGTAAGTACTGACTAGTTATACCTATGCCTTCTTTTATTTATTTTTTTTATACTTTGGACGGAGGTTAGCTGTTTTCCCGTTAGTTAGATAGGCTAACCACATCCTGACTCCAGTATTTCACGACAAGACAAATAAAGCTTCACTGTCATCTTCCACATTCTTGATACGGTTTCAGACTCTGCACTGAGTCGCTGACGTGCAACATTTGGGACACATAAACGGAAGTTTAGCTGCTTTAAAAAAAGCGTCTGCTAAATATCTACAAGGTGAAAGAGTGGAAGAGGAGACGGGAGGAGAGGCTCCTTAAAGGCCTCTCAGCCTGGACACCCACACAGCCATTAGTGTCTCTCTCTGAAGTCCACTAACCAACAGCTCTCTCTGGGCTCATCCGTCCCTCACTGCGCCTCAGACATTCACTCAGCTATTCATATTTCTCCCTACCTCACATTTTTCACATTTCATATTTTCCTCCTTTCATATTCCCACACTGAGTTCAAATAGTCCATCACACCTCCTCCTTCTTCATATCTTTACATTTTAAAAGCTGAGATTCACTTTCTTTCTCCACATTCATTTGAGGCACATTAGCATGAGAAACTGAACTTTCTCAGTGTTAAAAAGCATGGAGATGCCTCTATTACCTGCCACAACATTGATAATTGACAGATTTAAAAGATACCATTCCTAACTTCCTGTATGGAAGTAGGTGCATTTGTTATGTTTCATTTATTTATTTAGATTTTCCCTTTAATTTGTCACCCATCTGTGGTTTGAGAGCAGAACAGGTTTTGGTGTCAGTCTCCCCTCTTGGGATGCTATTTGGTACCAATGTTCAACAATCGTACAGGTAGAGATCCACTGCAGAAGAGGCAAATAGATCAATTTGTACACCCACAGAGGGTCCTAATAGACCATGATGCACTGCAGTGTGCAGAGGCTGGTGAGGCATGTCACTGAGTGAAGCAGCTTTTGCCTGTATATACAGCCAGTTTACTGCACTTCTATGATCACTGTGTTGTGGGAAGTAACTCTAAGAAATAGAGGAAATAAAGAATAATAAAGTTTATATTCTTGATTTTTCAAGAATTTTCAGATTTGTTAAAACCTACAATGGCATGATGTTATAGGAAATTACATTTATATGTTTTGAAAATGAAACTATATATTCCTGACAATTTTTTAAGGATTAACATCTTCAAAAGCAACTTCAGGCTTTGGATGGAGAGCCACAGACATGGTAGGGAAATAAAAAAGTATTGGGAGAATGCATGGGATTTGTTGACAAGTAGAAAAATATAGATAATTAAAGTATCTATGATCTAAAGTAGGAGTGGATAAGACAGTAGATAAGCTGGGGGTGGAGTTTTCTATGTTCAATCCATTTATCTTTTATCACAGTCCTATAAAACACTCTCAACTCATTCATCTGTACTTCTCCCCCATGTCCCTTCCTCTCTTCTTCTCGCCTCCTCTCTTCATTCCTCCGCTCTCTTCCTCACACACACACAAGTATCTGGCTGCCTTAAGGGACAGCTAACAGTCGTGGTTTACCATCATTACCAATGCTTACACATGAATGCACAATCACTCATGTACATTTCCGTCCCCCATCCCCCCTGCTTTGACAATGTCTCTCTGACACACTGTACCACCCCGTGCTTGTTTCTATCACATCCCTTAGGCACCAGGAGGGAATGTCTTTGGGTGTGTGAAAGGGATGCTAAAGAGACAGAGAGAGAGAGAGAGAGAGAAGGGAGTGGAGGAAGGGGGAGGAGAGGAGAGGCGTTGCTGGTCCTTCATTTATGCTGAATAAAGCCATGATGGGGGATCGCCTGGGGATGACATCCCAGGCAGAAACAGGCCTGCTTCCCTTTGTTCATGGAGAATCCCTCAGGAGGGAGGGGAGGAGGGAAAGATGGAGTCTCAACAATCGGCCTTCTGAGAGAGAGAGAGAAAAGTATGCAGGAGCAAGATGTGCATGATGTGTCGGTATGTGTGTTTGCGTGGAGCCAGAGAGACGTAAACAGACGGGGCGGGGTGGGCCCCAGTCTGTCCCGCTGCCTCTTTTGTCTCCAGAAACAAACCTCCTTAAACCAACTCTGCTTCGCCACAAAAAGACAGAAAGCAACAACAAGAGTAAACAAAGCACCTCCCTCCTCTCTCCAAATGGATTCAAATCCTCTCTCCCCACAGTGACAGCTGATGAGAGAATAATTAAACACAGGACTGTGTTGACTGAGAGGAGTCTTCCAGTACAGGCAGCCATTCACAACATTACAGTGTGTTTATTCATGGCCTGGAGTAGAATCAGAACAATTGTAATTTAATTTACTAATAACGTAGACTTGTAGCATTCAGTAAAAACAGGAGCTATTTCCTGATTATGTCTGATGAAGCTTCACAATAACACGCTCACAGCAAGTTATAAAAAGCCCGAGCCGAATGCAGCGCCTTATAAACATTCAGGGATGGAGGCCCGTTTCCTGGAGGATGCCATCACCAAACAAAAAGGGACGACAGTGCCTTCTGTCAGCTGAGACGAAGGTGCTGGGATCTCTGGTGGCCCTGCTTCACGTGAGCCCCGCCTGCTCGGGGCATCTGTCAGTCACTTTCTGCCAGCTCTGACGAGCTGAGGAATTTAGCCTTTTACCGCCTTTGTCCAGCAGGGGTCAGTGTGGCCGGCTGGAAGAAGCCCAGTCAATATTTGAGGCTGGTGGAAGCAGTGAAGCGTGGGCAGACGAGGGAGGAGAGAGGGGAGAAGGGGTGAAGATGCAGCTCTGTCTGGCCCCTGCTGAGAAGGAGGAGGAAGAGGAGGGAGTCTGGGCTATAATGACAGTGTCTTCCTGCTCTGCCTGAGAGCCAGCAGGGGCCGAGGTGTGTAGTGGAATGTGCAAGACGCTGGCTGGGACAGGATGCTAACTGGGTGTGGTGAGGAGGAAGACTGACCTTGCTGGGCCACAGGGTGAGGTGATAAGGCAGCCGTGTACAGTAGAGTACAGTATGGCTCATCTGGCATAAGCATTAATGTTTATATTTGAGATACTTTGTGTTTGTGTGAGACCACAGTTTGTGCTTTATTAGAGGAAAACATCAATAAATCTACTAATATCAACACTTGTGCTGCATTAAAGCTGCAGTAGGTAACTTTTAGAAATATAACTTTTTGTCATATTTAATGAAACTGTTACTATATTCAGACAGTAGTACATGAGACAGATTATCTGTGAAAAGATTATATTCTTCTGTCTCCTCATGATGCTTCTAATGGCATTTGCAAGAATCCACCACACCTGAACAAAAACAGCCAATCAGAGACAAGGAGTCTCTAACATAGCTGTCAATCATATCAATCTCTGCTCATGGTCAGACTGTCAAACTAGGCAGTGCTGATCAAATATGAATCAAGATTCTGTTACTGCATTACCCGTTTCTAACCTCAAATGTTGTCAGAAACATATTTTAGTGTCCTGTTTACCTGTAAACGAGAACGTTTATGATGTGGCTGCCATGGTGAAAAGCATAGAGCCAAAATGAAGCACCGCCCATTGGCCAGACCAACGTTCTCATTTTACAGCTAAACAGTACACGAAAATATATTTCTAAAAACATTTGAGGAGAGAAATAGGCAATGCGGCAACAGAATATTGATTCATATTTGATCAGCGGTGCTTAGTTTGACCGCAGTTCACAAGCTGTGATTGACATGATTGACAGCAGTGTTAGAGAGTCCTCAGCTCTGATTGGCTGTTTTTGCTCAGGAGCGGTGGATTCTTACAAATGCCGTTACAAGCAATATGAGAAGGATGAGCAACAGGATTTTTTTCAAAGGTCATCTGAAATGGGATATAGTGACAGTTTAGGCAAGTACGGCAAACGTACGATAAAAGTCACCAGCTGTAGCTTTACCTAGCATTATTTTCACTAATATTAGAAGTACATGCATGAACACTTAGTTAAGGGTGATTTCCACAGAGAGCGCAGGGACTCTGTGCACTTGATGTGTTTTTTTCACCTCTTCTCAGGCTACATACAGGCTGGAATACAGAACAAAGGCTGTAACCTAGATTTTAGAAATACTGAGCTCATGATTCCAAGTCTGCAAAACCCACCAACAACCCCAACAAGATTCACGTCCGTATTTTCCATACAAAAAATAAGAACTTCCTTGAAAAGCTAAATTTCAATGTTTATTCAATAATCATTTACGATTGTATACACTTTTTTTCCCCCTTATATATGTTGGATTGTATGCTAGTAATAAATCGGAATGATTCCAACATATTGCTAGCATACCAACTGACTCACTTTCCCTATAATTTCCAATTACATTGTTCTGTACAGGAAATGGAAACTATGTGATTATCAAAATAAACCTTATAAATTTTTGTTCATTATTTTCATTTTCCATAGATACATATATTCAGTTGACTGTTCAATACTATTTTCATCAAATCTGATTTCCCAACATGAAGGTCTAAACACTGTTTCAAAGCCTTCTCCGCATATTGCCAGATATTTGCTTCTAGTGGGGAATTACTGGATCCTTTAGTTTTGTACACCAAGGTTTGAACATTTCCACCACATGTTGATTTTTTAAATTGTAGGATGTAACTCCTCCCAGGTTGCTAAAACCCCCCAGATTCCCAGACCTCGCCCCATTCCTCTGATTGGCTGCTGTGGCTGTATTCGGCCTGAGAGATATGCAGATACTACTGTACTTGGGGCTGAAAAATAACTTTACAACCTCCACACTTTGGGGAAATAAGTGATTTAATTTATATTCTAACTTACAGTTGTCAATATGTAACTATAACAGTCTCCTTAAAGGATGCAAGAATTGAAACATTATCTATCATCAAGTAACAGGCTTGTACCAGTGAAACTAATTAGGACCAGTCTGATTCATTGTGATGTTTAGCTGAACCCGCTCTAATTTTTTTTTAAATTCCGAGATCAATCTAAGCATTTGTGCCTTTTCTCAGTGAAGAGCTGCGTACACTGTGTTTATTTGCTATTCACAGTGCAGCTTTATTTTCTACAGCTGGTTATTTTAGTGCATTTCATAACATGGATGGGTTTACAGTTTAGCCTATAATCTGCGCTTGAGGCAATTTTATATACAAAAGAAAACAGCAGTGTTGCGAATATGGGGAATAAAGAGAAATACATGTTCACAGTTTAAATTCTAAAAGTCATATTTATGCAATATTACCATTTGTCTGATTCAACCGAATCTTAAAGGGCTATTTCAGTGGTTTTTAACTTTTTAGCCCATTTAGTACATCACAGGTTGTCCTTCTGCAAAGCATGCTGCTGTGTTTAAGAAATGCTAACATTCACTATTTAAGTCAGCCACTAGTTACCACTGATTTTCTTAGGCCACTGAAATATATAAGTGGGCTCTTAGAACTTGCTTTACTTGTGTGTTTGTGTCTATCACAGTAAACATTAAAGGAACACTTCACCCCCCAGATGATGATTTGTACAGTATGTCAATTACTCACCCCGTGTTACGTTGAATTCGGGAAGAAAACTTGGATTTTCCCCACATGCCAGCACAAGCACATTACTCATCTGTGCGTGGCTATTTTTGTGGAAGTGTTTGAAAGTATTATGGTTTTACCAAAATGCATGTGTTTGTGAACTGCTGAGCATATGACTGGATAAATGAGACTTGGATTATACTTTACGAGTTGTATGAGAGTTTATAAATGGATGTTTTGATGCAATTTTGCTGCTGTTGAATGCAGACCCCCTTTACAATTCATCAAATTTTTCTCTGACATACAAATGATCATATAGGGGGGTGAAATGTTCCTTTAAGTCTACATTAAGGGTGTTCAAATCAGTCTGCACCTAAACTGAAGGGCTGCGTATTGATTCTCATACAGTACAGCAACGCAAATACATTTAAAAGAACAGTTAAGAATGCATCTGAAAATGGTCAGCAAAAGTATAAAGTACATGACCAAAGTCTGCAATACAGTGGTATGGTCCAAATCAGGGGATCAGTGCCAACATCTAGCTATAATAACATCATTATGGAAAATATAATGACTAATTCTGTGTAAGTTTCTGTAACACTCTCATTTTAAATTTGTTCCAGTTTTGTTTTTACTTGAAAAACACCATTGCCATTGTGAAACTAAAACATTGGCTCTATACTAAGTTATCCAGAATCCATGGTACAGTGTCCCTCCACTGACCGTGTTTGTCTTTCTGCACAGAAATAATAATAAAATATATTGCTTTTTCAGTCCACTTTGCTGCAATTAAAATGACTGAAGTGAGATGAACAGACTTAAAACTTCATCTTATTACGGTAAAACGAATGTTAAAGGTTGCTCTTTGGGTCATAATTTACAGTTGAAAAAAGGTAATATGTCGTAGTCATCATAAAACATTTAAAATTGCAATAATATTGTATTGTGACTTAAGTATAGGGATAATATTGTATCGTGGGGCCTCTGTTGATTCCCATCCCTACAACATACAGGTTATGAGCAATTAAAAACCAATGGAGTCACAGTAAACCTGCCGTCCCTCTGCAGTATCGCTCAGTACATGCACTGAGCAGCCTAATTACCACAAAATCTAAAGGAGAACAGGGTCAGAGCAGAGACCCAGCAGTGCACCCGCCTCCTCAAATGTCACTGCAGCACTGCCGAAACCCAAACAAAACAGACAGGCGGCTGACTGAGGGTCACTCCAGCAGGCTGAGACACAGCCTCACATAGACAGAGAGAACAACCATCTGTAAGCTGAGGCCAGGATGGTTAAGGAGCTGTCAGATGATCATGCCTCTCCTCCCTTCCACACAGTCACACACACATACAGTCTGCACTTCTGCTGACTGGAAGAAAGATTAGCCAACATCACTGTGGGTGTAACAGGGCACTTCCTGTCCAAGCTCAGAGTGAAGTCTTCGAGGAACACCACACTCGCAGTGCCTCAGTGGTTGGAGCTCCTGCTCCACCCTGTGTAAACCTTAAATAAACTGTGTTTACTGCAGATTGTCTTACTGCACGTTTAAGCCACCACTTTGGCCTCATTTAAAATGCTTTGCACCCTTTAATAATGTAACCAGTGTAAAACTGCTGCCAGTTCTGTTTTTCTTAACAATTCTTTATTGGAGTTAAGCCTTTTTTTTCCCACGTGTAAATTAATTTCGGTGTCAGTGTTGGGGCTCCCAGGTTGATTGATTTTTTTATAATTTGTACTTCAACAAACAGAAGTAAAGCTGATTAATTTTGGGCTATATCTTGCTCCAGATTATGAGAGCAAAACACTTTTTTCCCCACGTGCAGGCTGCCACATCTACCTCAGCTGAAATGCGACGCCCTGTCCTGTCTGCTCTCCTCTCAGCAGCTCCACCCCCCCTTTTTTTAAAGACAGTGATAAAATGGGAAACTCGCATTCCTCCCGAGTGCAGGCAGTCTGATAAGCAGCTGTGGTGACTTACGTGCTGTTGATAATCTGGAACCTTTCTCCTTTCCTGAAGCTGAGGTCGTCTTCTGTCCGCGCCTCGTAGTCATAAAGTGCCACAAAGAGGGTGACTCCTGCAGGAGGGATAGAATCACAGTGTCAGCGATCGGCACATTAGCGAGAGAAAATGAGGCACTGAATCACGGTTAAGTGACGACCCACAGGCAGCTGCAGCTCACTGGGTAAATACGGATCAATCTCAGGTTTGCATGTACGTCAGTCATGTTGACTGTAATGGGAACTCATCAAATTTCACAGGTGATGATTGATGATTAAATTGACTGGAAACCGGTCACCCAGGAACAGTTTCCCAATAATGACATTTTAGTACAGTAAATTTCCACAGGTCATGTTTCTGCATGAGACACTCCGGCATTAATTTTAGCCACATTAGCGGGGGGCTCTTGGGATAACAATGTTGGCCACTCTACTAATTTGGTTTGGACTGAAATACCTCAACTACTATTGGATGAATTACAATGACATTTAGAATTTTTCCCATGGTCCTGACATGATAAATCATAATTTGGTAATCGCCCAACTTTTTTTCTGGTGCCCCCAGCATGTCAAACTTTTCAATCATCCATCTCAATATCTACCTGATGGATTGGCACCCAATTCACAGCATTAAGCCTTAAGAATTCCTGGGGAGAGATCAGGGTATCAGTGAGATGCAGCACGGTGGAGGCTAGTACAGCAGGCATTAAGCCTGACCTTTTAGTATGGTCGTTAGGTACATCTATCAACACTTCAGTTATTGGTTGGGTTTCCACCCAAATGTAGCACAAATTTTAACTGAATTTTCAGAAAACTGGCAAAAGAAAATGGTAATTTTTGCACTTTTTCATCCACCAGGTGGGAGTTAGGTGGCGCTTATTCTGCAGTCATTATACCTTTACAAAAAATGAGCGCACAAGGAGATGATGTAAGAAGAAGAAGCGGAGAAGTAAGGGCATCATATTGCCTCATATCACTGGGCTTCAACACATCTAATAAGTCTTGTCTGCATTTGCCAAATGGCTCAGTAGCTAGTGCACTATCACAGACAGGAGGGTGATTGATTTGTTTAACTGAGGCATTGGCAGTCGGTGTCTGCAATTATTTAAAGGTAGGTTCTTAATAAAAGACCATAAACAATTGCTTTCTATTGTCTATTGCCCTGTCGTATATTGGCAACCATCCATTTGAGTGTACCCAAAAACTTCTGTCAAGCGGAGCACACCCAAGGAGGCTAAAAAGAGTGTACCCATGAACCCTGAGCGGACACAATACTATTTCTAGCAATGTCTGCTGTAACCATCTAACATTGCAGCTCCAGTTACATTGTGCATGTGTCATACCAGGAGCTGCCCACTAAAATCAGCCGCAGACTCCGTAAAGTCAAGCAGTCATTTTTGCCAGTCAGTGTACTCCTGGGGATGTTTTGGTCCCCAAATTTAGCCTCAGAGTGAGCATCCTGACTTACTCCTATACAGGCAGCTGCAGATGCAGACCCAGGGTGAATCTGAGTGAGACAGAGGCAGCTGCTTGGAGAGGCTTTTCCGGTCAGGATCCAAGATAATATTATCTTTAGCTTTCTGCTTAAAAATAGTGAAATGTACAGCGCACAGTAACTTAATATGAAACAGTCTCTGGCTTTTGTTTGATATCTAGTGTTGGTACAAAATGTACCAACCATCATTAGTGCAGTTAACGTGCATTAGCTTGGGCGGCTAACTTGGCTTGTTTACTATATCATGTGAACGTTGCTATCACCTTGAAACTCCTGCTGAACTCTGTTTAAACTCTCAAACTTTATATGGAAAAAGAGGAATGAATATTCTGACATGTATTTGAGAAGCTAAATCAAATCAGACTGGCATAATTCTGAGTCGGGTACAACGCTTTTTATACCTCATAGCTCATAGGATCAAATAGCATGTCCCAGCCTTCATTTAATAGACCTGCTCAAACAAAGGAAAACAATAGATGTTTCATAATGGAGAGCACACCTGACAATGGAAATAGAGCAACTAATATTACAGCTCTGTGCTATTGGAAGAGTTCTGGGAACAGCCTCCAGAGAGGACGAAGAGAGCTTGCAGTGGCCAATGCCATGGTGGTACGTCAAGACTGTGCGCCAGGTGGAAAACAGGTGGATGAAGACATACCCATTGTCAGAAAAACACATCTTATTAACAAATGAGTTTCAAGCGTACTAAACTCCTTTGTCTTGTAGTATTGTTAACCTTTGCTCTCTGTTAATTCTTTGCCACTTCAGCTTTCCTCTGGTAGAATTGGCTTCACAATGACAGAAAAATCTTTGCAGAATCAAAACTCTTCTCACAGAGTACCTCAAGTAACCTCCTCTCCGTCGAGTCTTATCTCCTCTCCCGCATCTCACGCCACTAATCCTACTAATTTTGCCCTCATCACACAAGTATAAAAGAATAGCAGCTCTCATTTGAATATCACCCAGTAGCACTTCTCTAGCAGGAGTGTTTTCTCAGCCCTACACTGCTGCCTTTTTGCTTGCGTGGGGCAAACGTGATGAAGGAGTTTAGGCTCATTATAGGACTTGTTAACAGATCGCAGCAAGAAGTTAACAACACAAGTGAAATTGTGAGGTGAAGAAAAACTCAACTGTTCAGCTACCCTTTTAGTTGTGCTGGGCACAACACACATATAACAAATAGGAATAAGAAGAACAAAAACATTTAGTACAGAAATAAAGGCCAAAGTCAACCAAACTGCTTCAGACTTTGAATGGTCCAGTGACAGAAACTGGGACTCCTATCAGGCGAGCTAAAAACCTCTCTAGATAAAGACCAGTGACCTACAAGACTGGGAGCATCCCAGTGGCTGAAACAGAACAGAATTAACTTGCAGAAGGGTACCAAACAGTGTTTTTATATCGTTTTCACACCCAAAATCCTCGGTGTAACTTAAGGTTTTTGCACAATTTCCATAAAGCTGACATCCACAACTTCCCTCACACTGTTGGCTTCTCTAGCGATAAGAGAAAATGATTTTCACACTACAGCAAGAGAGTTGTGGAAAGTTGTAATCTGCCAGAGCAAAACTAGCAAAGTGTGAAACTACAGCACTGAGGTTATGTAATTCAACTGAATGTACTAAATACAGTTCTGCTGACTGAGGCTTCAGTGAAAAGAAGTGATGTCCACCCCGTATGCTGGTTCTATTTTCTTTGCACTAAATTAGTAATGTCATTTAGGACAGATATAAATTCCCAAAAAAATCCCTTCCTACTGGCAGAATATGGAGGACAGCCCCTTAAAATACTTTTCATCAGCTGTTTTTTTAACTGTACACTGATTAGCATTCCAGTGCGGACGTGACAACCGTGCGCGGAGCCCTTTGACCCTCTAGTGAAGTGGTCACTGGTCAGCTGGAGATGCATGATAGACACAAATGTAAACAGCAATGTGTCTCAACTGTCCACTTGTGTTTGGATCAACAAAATGCTTTTTAAAACCAGTTGTAAACAGGGTCAAAGTAACCAAGTCAACACACCGACAATTTTATCCCTTATAGCCCCAAAAAGGATAATGTCCATAACTGCTATCACAGAGACTATCAGAATAAATAAATTTAGCCATTAAGTCCATGATGTCATCAAGAAATCATGTACTGACTTTGTATTTTCCAACTGATTTCAGTAGCACTCAAATTTTAAATGATTAATAAAGAATGAATCGAATCTGCCATGTGTGACACATGCTAGCTTTAACAAACGGTCTGTAAAGTGACGACAGTGACATACATTGCCATCAGCCTCAAACGTGTAATAACATTGCAAATAAGGTAGCAGGTTATAGTTTGAGAGTACATTGAGTTTTTTCCTGACAATTTCTTGGTGGATTATACAATGTTCTTCAAATATTTTCAAGATATTGGTCATTTGCCTTGTATAACAAATTTATAAACACTGGTTAAAAGAAACTACAGCATGGAGGTGTGGGGATATTAAAGAATAGTATCAGTGTACTTCATCAGTAGATGAGGGCCACACACAGCCTATTACATATGGTTAAAGCTCTGCTAAAAGCAAGTAAGTAGACCTTGAGTGAGTCGATTATTTTTGCCAAACTACTATTTCCAAACTGACATTTTACAGATATTCCACCAACCCACTTTATTTGGAACGTTTGTTAAATTGAAAGTGAGAGCATGCCAAGTGCAAACAAACCCCCACAGCCCCAGAGAAATGTGTGTGTGCAGATATTTCTGTAAACTCTTATCGTTTACTTTGTTTTCACATGAAGTTTGACTTAACTGTGTTTGTTTCCAACCAGTCTGATCATCTGACTCATCTTTCTCGCACCATTACACTTTGTTTTAGCGATGTCGCTGCAATTCCAGATCTTAACAATTGAATTAGTGAGCTTGATGTTATTATTATCAACAGGAAAGATGGCTAAAACTATAAAAACTGGAATGAAGTGGAATTACCCTTGAAGGGGGTTGGATTTCTATCTGACTCACTAAGTTTGATTTGTCTTGTCTCATCACAGAACACATGAGTGTGGAGATAAGACACTCAAAGTGTTTTGTTGAGGTCTGAGGTGACTGCAGCTGTTAAGCTGTTTTATGCCTCTGAGTGTTTGACAAATGGAAGTTGAGTGGGCACTTCTTCAAAGTCCACTTAAACTCTCTTGATCGCTTTTTTTTCCAAGTCATTTCACTTCAGACGCTCTCACCCGACTGAGGCTTTCTGGGAAACAGTGCTGATATTAAGAGAGCATGTGAGGCTGTTGCTGATAGGACTGCAGATAGCGAGGACCTGCTACTATTCATGTGATAACAAACAGAGAGAGGGGAGAGCAGGCTGTTCAAAAGACTGTCTGATTGAAACACTTTCTAACCGTCGCAACATAACAAGATCCTAAATGCATCACAGCTGCGGTGGGCGCTGCTCGAATGTTCTATTAGGTCAGCAGAGGTGGGCGTTAGGTATAAACTGGTTTATTGATTCATCTCAGAGTTGTCTGCTGGGATCCTACTCAATTAGTTATGTAAGGTTATAGAACTAGCTGTGAATTTCCATTCGGGGACATGACATCAGCAAAAGATCAACTGATAATCAATAATGGTTTGGATGCCAAATGCAATTTGGGTTCCTCTGCAGTGCGACTGAGGGGGGGTGATTGTGGCAAACAAGCTAGGCAGCTGTGTTATAACAGAGGTTGAGAGGGTAGGGCGGCTTATGTCCAAATTTCCCCACCAGGAGAAAATTAAAAAGCTAAACCCCTCTCTGCTCCTCTGCCACTGAGTGGATTTGGATTATACAGCGCAGAAAATAATCCACACTTTGAGCGAGAGGAGTCCTGCTAAGTTGAGTGGAAATGCTGAGTTCCTCTGCAGAGCAGCCTGGGCTCAGTCAAACATAAAGGATATCCTGAGTAGGAATATTCCCTACATAAACAATGATCCCCACACACAAAGCCCCGCACTAATGCCAGCCGGACGTTCCCGACAGGGCCGGGCTGGGGTCGGCAGTTGAGCTGTAGAAGGGTCTGTGAGGTGTGGACTGTCAGGATTTTAGGATGCCATAGGAAGTGTTTAACCGTGCAAAGAATCTCTAAGAGTTTGTGCTTTTGCATACGGAGGTGTATGTGCGTGGGCGGTTGCGAGCAAGTCTACCACTGGGTGCTTAAAATGTTGTAATTGTGTGGGAATTAAGTAAAAACAAATGACCTTCACACTTCTCACGTTAGCTGTTCTGACACTTTCCCTGTTCTGAAAAAAAACAATAAAGACACCCTTCAAAGAGGAACCCTTCAAATGAAGTACTTCCTCCTTTGGTGTTCTTTACAAAATACTATTTGTCTCTCCAAGCTTTGATTAAGCGTTTTCAGACCGGAAGAACTTTTTCATAGTTCAAAGAAGATAGTTTGAAGAACCCTCCTTCTATTGTGTCCGCACTGCAAGAACTAGGACCGATCACAGTTCTTACAATGCCATTTTGAGGGACCTTTTTTAGCTCCTATTTAGAGTAGGAACTCTTTCAGTGCACCCATTTGCCATGTAAACAACAGACAACACAAAATACAAACAACTTGTGACAGAAAAAATGAAAGAAAACACTAACGAATTGGCCTTGAGCTCACCTGGTAGTATGCACCCCATATACACCGAATCTTACATGTTGCCCTTTGCTTCAAATTATTTCCCCCTCTCTCTGTCACCATTCCTGTCAACCTTTGGCTATACCATCAATAAAAGGCAGATTTTGACTTGTCAAAGAACGATATTAGAATCTTCACTTGCCAGCTTATGTTACTTTAATGTTACTATTGTTGGTGTGAATGCAAACAGACACAAAGCCCTTTAAGGTATGCAGTTCTTGAAGGAGCTCCCCAATGGGTGGGTCCTCTCAGGCAGACCCCAGAACTGTTTGGTCCGACAACTCCTACTGTCTCTTGAAATCAAATAGTTTGACCTCTCCTCACATTTGATTGTTTGTCATTTGTGGTGACCCCGGACATGATCAGTGTTCTACTTTACTTCTGTGGTAATTTGTTTTATCTTTATTCGACCAGGTAATTTTACCGCATGCTGTCTTTATCAGTCACATTCACACATGGAGGCTGGCCAGTCCAACCACAGTGATCTATTGGCCATTTGGGGGCGGCGGTAGCTCAGTCCATATGGACTTGGGTTGGGAACCGGAGGGTCGGCTGTTCAAGTCCCCGTCCGGACCAAAAATATGGAGCGTGGACTGGTAGCTGGAGAGGTGCCAGTTCACCTCCTGGGCACTGCCGAGGTGCCCCTGAGCAAGGCACCGAACCCCCCAACCGCTCAGAGCGCCTGTCATGGGCAGCCCACTCTGACATCTCTCCACTTAGTGCATGTATAGGTCCAGTTTGTGCATGTGTGTGTTCGGACCTGTGTGTAATTGACAAACAGAGTGAAAAAAAAAATTGAATTTCCCCTCGGGGATTAATAAAGTATATAAAAATTTAAAAAAAGCAGCCTCACTGGTGCAGATAAGGGTCAAGTGTTAGTGATGGGGGGGGAGGTATTCTACGGTGCAGGGACTGAACCAGCGACTAACATCCAACCATTTTGCAACTTTCTGAAACAATTTGAATTTCTTTCTCAAACTCTCTTTTTTATCTCCTCACACAACAGCTTCACTATCAAGTCACAATGAACACCAACACCAGTTTGAAAGTGTGCTCCATATTGACAGTACAAAGACTGGCACAAGACAGAATTCTCTTCTAGTTGTGTTACAGGCACCTAACTGCAACCTGAATCATATTCTTATTCAGGTCTATTTTCTTCTGTTTTTATACATGAAACAACAGTGATTGTGAGTTGTAATGTGGGTGACCTACACTCTAATACTACACCTAAAAGAACATCCTGTGTAGACACAGACAGAGGACTGAAGCTGCTGTATTAAGTGTGTTGCTATCATTGAGCAGCCTGTGTAGACATTGTGTGAGGGCCTCTACACTGGACCACTGGAAGAATTTGTTTTCCTATTGAAAGAGTGAAGATCCCAAATGTTGAGGTAACATTACTGTGGGTGTTACACTCTGCTTAGGTTTTATGCCTCACTGCGGTGCTCAAAGTTCAATTAGTGTAAACTTTATTTGGTGTTGACCTTTCATTGTGCAACTAATGAGATCACAGCTGTCCAAGACAAAACCCGAGAACAACCTGTGATAGATGAAAAGCGTATTCTCTTTGTGTCTGAGTTCCCAGAGCTCCACAAAAGACGACCATTACATCCTTCCTGAACATAGATGTAGAGTCTGGGGAGGGCGCAGGGGACACGTCCACCTCAATATTTTCAACGTGTGCAACATGTGCAAACACTTTTATCTCGACAAAACTGAGGACATTTACACCAAAAAATGATGCAGAAAAGGCACAAATTCACCAGAATTCATCAGATGAAGTGTTTGATATTGAAAAAAATCCCCTCTTTCATGTGTCAACTCCAATGTTGAAAAGTAACGTACGCCCTTGTCTTGATATTGGCAGAAAGACTACCACATGTAATAGCAGTACTGTAAACAGAGGCTGTCCCCTTCAAGAAAACACATTATCAGTTGAGTAAAGTGACAGAAGCCATCTCGCAGTAATCATGCTTCTTTACTATTAGCCAATAAGTCGGCGAAGGGACAAGGTTGGGGAGGATATATGGGTTTACCAAATGTTGGACTTTATCATAGAGACTTGGGTGACTGGACGAATATATCGACTATTGGCGACTGGCAGAATACATTGGCGGTTGGTTTTCCTGGGTGGTTTTTGCCATAGCGGGCCACACACAAACACATACACAAACATATTGGCAATTGGTGGTTGTTGGGCTGATGGTGGCCGGTTGGAAAATGTAATATTTCGCCCAACCTTAATGGAGACCAAAGTTTGTTTCCTGTTTCACACCGACAGTCAGCACTAGTTTTCCACAGTCATTTCTGGACCTTAAATTAGCAGTTATTGTTGCGACGATGACGATCAAGGTCACCCAACCATGACAAAGTAGTCAGTTCAACCCAAACCAGAAAACCATACAAGTTGTTTTTGTGGCTAATCGTAACCAAATGCCACTGTAGTGTTGTCATCATACACAGCACATTAAAGAGCAAGTAAATGTACCTACAAATGTCCCTTAGGTCTGGTAAGATGCCGGGATGGTGCTTACTCTTTAAATTCACTGTTAACAACAGACTGCCCTCAACATATAGCTATAGCACAAGTTTATTTCATTTCCCCAAATACCTATTTTTTTCCTTTTAATAATGCAGAACTAATAACAACACATTTATAAACACATTGACAGTACAACATTTTTAATGCAAGAAGGGATGACTAATGTGATTTTAGATGACAGAAATCATATTTTAAATAACAGTGGTTGTCTAACTGACATTGAGCATCCCTTACCTGTCCCACCACGAGTCCTCAGGGTTCCAGTGTGAGAGGAAGTGCTGACCCCACCGAAGACGGTCATCCCCTGTCCGACAGGGGCGTGGAAGTTGTTGTAGTTGGGGATGGCGGTGACCCCGAAGCTGGGGTAGTGCTGTGGCGTGGGGTCGGCCCCATAGCGGTAGCCCGCTCCCTGGGAGATGCTGGTGTCTCTGTCGTCTGTGAGTTTGGTTGCTTCCTTATCCTTGCATTGCACACAGCCCATTATCTATAGTCTGTGGATGACAACAGAGACAAAGGACATTAGGTTGGTTTAGATTAAACTGGTTGACTTGAGTGATTAATCATAGAAATGGTTAGAAAAATGTAAACACACTACATAAAAACAGAATGACTGTGTAGATAAACCCCATTTAAAGGTGTGAATAGACCTATCTGGATCATAACTCTTAACTGATCATGACAGTGGAAGATTACATGTGATAATGGGCAGGAGAAATAAAAACCCAAACAGGCTAAAAGAGCCTTAATGCTGGCACTGAATTCATCTATAAGCTGGACTGGTGGATCGATGAGGTGAAACATGCTGTCTGGCCGCACAGCACACCAAAATGAACTATATTCATCACTCTGTTCAAGGTTCGCCCCTCACACTGCTTTCTCTACAGATGACATCCTTCCACTGATTAGCACTCTGGTCTGGGAGGCAGCGACCTTTTGTTTATAGCCTGACACACAGCTTGGTCTCTGGATGACTCACACAAACAGCGTGTCTCTTTCTTGGTCAGGAGGAATAACGGCTCCTATAACACTGATGTCAGGGAGGCCGGCCGGAGAGAAGGGGAGACGTGGAGGCATGGCGCTGTGCTGTCACCATCACCCTGTTGATCTTAATGGAGAGTGGTGGGAGGACAGAGTGTTGGCGGCGAAGAATCACTCAGCCTGAGCAGACTGAAGTGAGAATCTTTGCCTCGCTTCCACATGTTGGACGCCATCAAAGCATTCAACCTTTCTCTTTACTGTGCAGTCTACCTATAAATCATCCCTCATAAGCCTCTTTATAAAAAAAGGTCTACAGTGTTGCACGGTATGCTGCAAGATCTGACTTTCTACTTTAAAAACAGGAATTCTATCTGGCAAATACAGCCACAGCAACACACACTGAACGGGACAAAGTGGGTCAAAGTAAAACCGAAACTTCCAGGTTGTGTTCCAGAAGTAAGAGAAAACATATTTAACTACACTAATAACAAAAAATAATGGAAGCTGTAGTTATTTTTGTACTCTTAAAGGCATCATGTTAAAATCACAAGGGTTGGAGTGGAGCTGATTTGTCTGATAATATGGAAAGTAAACAACAGGAAAACACTTGATTTTTTTCAGGAAGGCTGATGAAAGAGTTGCAGAATGAGACACTGCATTAAGAGGCTAGAGGATAGCCCAGATGTAACATCATGACTTTGGCTCTCTGTAGACTGCACAAAAAACATGGACGCAAAATTGTTGATGCATCCATGTTACTTGAAAGGTTGTCTCGTGTAGCCAGACCTTTGTCCACAGCTCTGTGTGAGCGCTAGAGAAAGGTCTTCAATCACAGGTTATCTTACTGCAAAAGGGATAAAAAATGCTCTGGCTTGTTTTTGTTCCTTTAAACCGATCACAATTGTCATGTGTGGCACTAGGCGCAGTATGCAGCAATGGTGGTCTTGCAAAACAGTGTTGGGAGGGAACCTGTTTTAATGGAACATCTGCACGCAGGGACATCACTGGACCTGTTTAAACCTCAGAAGATCTGCTGGCTGTATGTCACTCTAGCAGAACATTACTATGACAATATCACAGGAGCTTGTGTGAAGTGGAACGGATCGATGCAATAGTGAGATGCATTAGTGAGAAAAGATGTGACAAATCAACTCAGACTGGCCGTGTCAGAAAACGGATCAACATTGGGCACAAGAGTCCTGTGAGTCTGGGCTTGTCTGAGGTGCGTTCACAAGTTGTTTTATCCATTGTGGATATTCACAACAATTCACCGAAAAATGACACAGCCTTATTGCACGATTGAAAACGTGCAAGTTGTTCACTCCAAAGTTAGTGTTGTTTCTCGCAGCAAAGTGAATTTGGAAACTGCTACATGCAAACAGTGGAAGGAAGGGAGAATGCCAGCCGAAATCAGAGAAATTAGAGAAATCAGAGGCCCAGTAGCAGGCTTATAGCCACAGTTGACATCTGGTTAGTCAGACTACTTTAAAGGTCCCCACTATATGTTAAGATCCTGCATTTCCCATAATGCAACCCAACAGCATCTTTTTATTGGTCACCTTCTGCCTGGTATATGCCCACATCTTGCAAACTCCACACCTCCAGCTCAACCTGAAAGTTCATTCTTTTATGAACCTCATAATTATTCATCACAACTCTGTTTTTCATTTACCATTCATATTTGAATTGAGATGAGTATTTAATAAAACTCAGGGAGCTTTATATTTCAATACTACTCCCCACGACTAGTAAACTGATCTTTATGCATAAAATCAGTGGAGTTCCCCTTAAAAGGAAAGGTTTTTTTTAAGTTTTGAAGCTTGGATTTGGGGGCAGAATCACAAGAATCCCAATTAAGTCAAAGAGGAGTAGGCCTGGGTGGGTGGAGCTGCAACTGCATTAGTAAGCTAGAGGTGCTGCCGCTGAGACAGCTGTCAATCAGGCAAACATATTTCTCTTATCCTAAAAATCTCCTTTGTAAAACAACCATTCAATCACAATCACAAATCCATGTTGCCTCTAAAGCAGGGTATACGCTGTACAATGTTAGAAATGTTGTTTATTTCCAACTACTGCTGTGCAATTAAACTGTCTGTGATGTAAAGCCAAGGCTCACAATTTATGTGCTCACACTGTACAGTCCGATGTCCAAGCCACATCCTGAGTGCTCACACTGTACATGTATAAGAGAAAATAAAATAGCCCATCAGCCCCTGCAGACTGTTCTGGCAACTGACAATCAATAAAGATTTGTTTAACAGCTCCAAGGCAGGTCAAAGTTTAATTGTTGACGGAGGTCTGTAACATTTCACCGCTACAGCTCACAATACTTTATTCATATTGGTAGTGATAGAAGGAGGATGAGACATTAAAAAGCCACGTATACTGTTGCCAAAGCCTGACCAACCTGTCCTCAATATTTTGCGTCGCGGCGCCATGATGATACATTGTGTCGCAATGGCACTTTCCGATGCTCTGTTTGCTACTTTGTTCAAAACAGACATTGGGGAATTGACTCATGGCTCTGCTTCAACAGTGCGAGAGTCTGACAACGGCCAGTTGGGAGCAGCTGATTGGGCCATGATCAGTCGTTGCTCCCCTCTGTACACTGCACAGCAAACCCAACAAAGCTGAAATTCAATGCGACTCTGAAAGGACTTGTGCGGCTCAAAATTTGGGTCAGAAGTGGACTCCAATCGTTCAGCCTATGCTCAGCTTAAGGCATACATTAAGGGATGTGAAATTAGCTGTTGAGGTCCAAACCTGATTTTTTTTCCCAAGAGAAAAGTTCAGAACTTTTGAAAAACCTCATTACAATGTGTGATTTTTTTTTTTTTTTTTTTGGAGCCTGACCCCGGTGGCAATCAGTGGTGCTGCATCTACAAGAGGCACTCAAACAATTTGACCTGACAAAGTCAATGTACTTGTCATAAAGAGGATGACTCAGCCTGTGAAAACACTTGTATAATGTGTTATGTGGCTCAGTGGGAGCTTTGTCAAGTCGGTGACATTACTTCAACGACATCACCGGCCGTGTCAGCTTGGTTTGGAGATGCAGTTGCATTATGAGAATTGAAGGATCCAGTGTTCGTGGAGCTTGGATATCTGGATATCTCAGCCTCTGCTGATTTGATTTTGACAACTTTTTTTTTTTTTTTTTTTTTTAAATTGGTCTTTTACAAGCTACCCCACTTTATGAAAGTGAAAACTACTGATAAGGTTGTTCTGACTTTGCTTCTGTAATAAGCTGAAACTACTGGGTTGTAGTGAACCAGGAATATATCCACTGTAGACAGCTTTATGTCACAGAGACAAAAGAATGTTTCTATTGTATGTAGATACAGTTCCACCAGACTCTCAAAACATCTTGAAATACTTTCTCAATAGTTTATTTATGACTAAGCGAGGACGGTCTTTCTTCCTCAGCAAAATTACATGCTAAGATTTGAAAAATGACATGAGCCACACCACAGCGGAGCACAAGATTACCCTCTGACAATTTGATGTACTCCCAGAGGAATTAATGCTACCTAATTGTTTCTCTGCAAAACAAGGATGGAAATACCAATGTTGACGATGTATATCAGCACAGACACAACGGGCAATAAATCCAGGCTCTCCTTGGAAGACAAAGTGCCGGTCTGGCCTTCAGCTCCAGTCTGTCCTCAAATGTGTCATTTGAGAATATATTTCACTCCCTCCTCGTTCTTTCTCTCTATCTTCTGGCACAGTCGCCTCATCTGACTGCAGTGAGAAGCAGGAAATGTATTCACTTGTGACACACTGTGAGGACAGAGAGAAGAATAATGAAGGAGGAGTGTGGGCTTCCCCTTCTTAGCAGTAGCAATAAACAAGTGGAGGATCAAAGAAAGGAACCTCACTCTTCTACCAATTGACAGTGTCACTGACAAACAACAAGCGCTCTGAATTGAGATAATCACACACCGATCTACTGACAAGCTGCCGGAGACAAGAGGCTGGAAAGACTAAAGACAATAAGTAACCAAACAGAAACACAATGGCACAATATCCATCTAATGATAATATCACAGTAAATAGGATGTTGCTGTGGATATTTATGCTCCCCAGAGGATGGATCATAATGGTTTCCATGACTGCCATGGTCTAGTGCCACCATTGAGCCAAACTTCAAACGGCATGCAGGAAATTACCTAAACTTATCTAACATAATCCCTTGGCCAGGTTGAAATGAAATGTACCGAGTACAATCATGCTACTCAGAGGATGAACCCTTTCTGTCTTAGATACTACATGACCCTTGCTGTAGTGCCTCCCTTTACATTAAATAAAGATCCCACTAGGAACATGACATTTACATGAAAGATGGAGAAACGTTGTTATTGATCTTGCTGTATACATCAGTTAAACATTATCAAGTATTTTTCCTTAGACCTAACAAAAATGCAACTGTTCACAATGTTAACCATGTGTTTTAAACTGTGACACTTCATATTTGACTTTCTGTGGTGCCAGCACCTAATTTTAAGTCATT